CTTTGATTGGATTCTCAATAATGATTTATTATATGCTAAGCTTAAGTTGATTCCTTGATTCCTTGAGTTTGGCTATTGAGGTGTTGGAAAAAGGTTATAGCATTCATTTGCTATGGCTTGTTAGTTTATCCATTAACACTTGAAGTAGATTGTTGGATGGAGAAGGTGTGTTGTTAAGGCATTGGCATTTCTAGCACTTGTGTTAATGGAAATTGTATTGTTATTTCAAGTGATGAAGAATTTTCTTTACACCTTGATTTTTTTATGTCATTTTTCTTGTTAGTATTTTGGCTTTACATTGGATCTTAAAGGTAATTGAAAAAGAGTGTTAGTGCAATATGGATATCTGAAAATATAGTCTTTGTGATCAAGCCTTAGATGTTTATTTTGCATTTAACAGATATCAGTATTAGATGTCAGAAATATGGGCAAAGATATTCAAGGCTTAAACATACTATAGGTCTTAAGAATTTGTGTTGAGGTGAATTTATGTGAAGTTGTTAACTTGGTTAATTCTTGAAAGTTTGTATTCCTAGACTTAGAGTTATTCTTTTTCTATGATGAAAAATTTTCCATAAATTTTCTTAGGTTTTTCCAATTGTTGATCTGTTGATCACTTTCCCCAAAAACCATTTCAATTTCGTAAGCTTACAAACTAGTGAAGGGGTTGGAGTTGACTTCAGTTGGCTTACACGTTAGTAAGTAGTTTGTATAATGCAACCCGAAAGAGATGTTAACTTTTAGAGCTAAATTGAGTTGATAAAATCTGAAGTTGGTGTAGAAAAGTGGCTGTTGCACTTTTTTTAAAAGGTGACCTTTGTGCCTTTCTTCTGTAGTATTGTGCTTGGTGGCAAGTTCACCTTGCATTTTGTTAAACTCTATAAGAATAATAAGCTCTTATTAATCTTGATTTGGTCTTGGTGGCCCTGCGCCTTGGTTGAGGATGGTAATGTTCAACTTAGTTGCTTAAGGTTGAAATGTTGATACCCATACTATAGCTTTGTTTATAAGGAGGTTGTGTACCGATATGAGTTTATCTCATGGTCTTCACTTTAGTTTGAACTGAGTGTTGATCGTGCATAATTAACCTCTTCAAAGGATGCTTAGAGCTATTGGCTAAATGTGTTGATGAGCTTATTGTAGTTGAGTTGGATTCATGTAGTCATTTAGTTTATGCTTGTCCATGAACCTTTATCTTGTGCCTAAAGTATTACGTTCATGTTGGACAAATACATGACTCGATAGCGCGAGTTTAGTGTTTGGGTCTTGTGAAAAGGCAAATTGAAAGAATGATTGTTAGTTGCTTTGCAATTAATATATAAGCAACGAAAGGGAATGACTCGAGAGACAAAACATAATGGTTCAAATATGGAGGGAAATGGCCCATGAATAAGAGTGCACCCCTTTTCCAATCGATTAAAAGTCTTGGGATATTTGGGGTTGAGTGTTTTTGGGTTTAAATAGTACTAGGCTGGGTGACCTCCCGAGAAGTCTAAATTCAAGAGCTTGCTTGTAGACTTTGTCAAGGACTATAACACTTGCTTTATTTGATGATGATTTAGCAATGATGAGCTTGCTTAAATTTCGTTAAATTTACATGGGTTTCCCATGTTAGCAAGTCTACTTTACCTTTGTCGATATCATTTTGGTTGCATTTATAATGTTAAATTTTATTGAGTCTTGGATGTGGTGAATTACTCCTTGATGATGTGTTATCTATAACTGAGTATTGTTGAAGGATTGATCTTAGATATTAAGTATAGTATCTTTAACTTTGGTTAACTTGGTTATTGAAAACCTTTAAGTGGTGATTCACTCTTGCTTTCTTTTAACTTTGTTTTGGTGTTGATGGCATTGAAGCAAAGCCCTATTATTGACATTGTTGATGTTGGGATTCGAATAAAATAAGATATCTCTCTGTAGAATTGATATTAAGTTTCATTAGTCATGATATAAATAGTATTGATACTTCGGCTGTAGCTTTATGTTATTGATATTCATGCATTTGCTAGTTAGCTACTATGTTGACATTCAAATGAATTGAGTAGTGAGTTTGAGTTAATTGTGTTCTAGATAAGAATATTTAGCAAGGGTTGAGCTTTAGCTTTTTCTTGAAAAATGATTTAATTATGGACAATGCTAACTCTACAAAAGAAAAAGTTAATGATCGATATTGGAATGTTTGAATCCTTGTTAGATTTGAATTATGATATATTGATTATTAATGATTCTTCTTGTACTTATTATGAAATGAATTATATTTTGTTATCGATGGATTCATGAAGGACTGGTTTGATAATCACTTATTGAGCATAGCTCCATTGTGCTTAATTTTTGGATTGATGTAAATGTGCTTTTCATTAGTTTTGCATTATGAAGTTTAGCTTATGGATATGTTGAGGAGTATATTATTGATTATGCCATGATTTCTTCTTTAATATTAAAGTTAATTCATATGAGATTTATGATCATTGTTTAAGAAGACCTGGCTATAGACTTCTTCAAATTTTTTGTTCTTTGAGTTTTATGCTCATTGTTCTATTCGTAATAATTTGGTTAGAAAGGCATTTTGGCTCGTTAGCTTCAAAATTGAAGTTGGATTTTACATTTGGCAATCACCTTGACTATCATCTAAGATAGTTGATTATCTTTATTAAAGGTTTTGCTTGATTATTGTTGATATAGAATGATTTGCCATTTTTTGGGATGGTAGATTCTTTATTTGATGATGATTATGCATTTCTTCATTAATGGGATAATTGATGATCTTTCATGATAGTTAGTTATTCTTTTTTAAAACTTATAATAAACTTGAAAACAGTATTAGTTTTTTTAAAGGGTCTAGTGTTTAATAGACACTCTAAAGGCTAGCATGAACATCAAGATTTAATCAGTTATAGTTTTTTTTCCATTCAAAATCATGTTTCTTAGTTTGCAAACTTTTTTCCATTTCTAATTCATAGGAGCAGTCAACATTGACAACCATAGGGCTGTAGCTGCCTCAGAGCTCATAAATACCAACATAATCCTGAAAGAGGTGGAAAAAATGGATAAACATAGAAGCTGACAATATATAAGTGTCAATGTGCAATTGTATACATCACCATTAGGTTTCTATGTGAAGTCTCACAAAGTATGCCAAGGTCCCAAAGATGGGATTTTCAGTTCCAAGTGAGGTAATGGCTTTGTCAAAAAGGTTAGAAAGTTTTTTAAATGGCTTAGAGTGAAGAATATTGACTCTTAGGCAGCTAAGGATTAACAAAGAAATTGTGAGATGTAAGCAATTCTGTCATGAGGATATGTTGGTGAGTTTGAAAGGCTTTGCCAACTACTCAGAATTGGCTGGGCAATTACTAGTTATAAGATAATGCTAATCTCATAATAACAGGTTTTAGACCTTTAAACTTTTAAATTGAGGCTGGTGTATCTAGGGCAACCACCATGGATAAGCAGGGAGTGGTCGAATCCGCGGCTGCTCAATCCCCGAGCTTCTTGGAGCTCCTCAAGAGCTGGTTCCTTTGTGGATGGCTCGCGGACAAGGCAGCCCTGTTGAAGACTCATGGCCCCAGCTACATCGCGGTGGGATCTCGATCGCAGTCCGCTTCGTCCTCCTTGGATCCACAATCGGGAGCCTCGGGGCCCAAGCCCTACATGAGGCCTTCGCGATGGACACAGCTGGTAAGAAAATGCCGAGCCAGGTTCCGGAGGGGCTGGATCCATGATGGCAATCCCCAGGGCGGGCAATTCGATCCACACCAGCAGCACTACTACAAGATGGACAGCTACGAGCGGAATTTCGACAGAGGGCGGGAGTTTTGGGAGGATCTGGCGCTCATCGGCCAGCCCCTCGAGGAGAATTCGCCACGTCGGTGGGCGATCCCGGAGGCGTCGGTGCCAGATCCCGTGTGGATGATCACCGCGTCCCAGGAGGAGATCAAGGACAAGGCGGCGGCGCTAGCTGCCAGATCCGGCAATAAGTAGCAGCGCTGCTCCATTGGATTTGGCTGTTTGTACAGGATTTATTATAGTTTTCTTCGTTCTCTTCTAGCCTAGGGTATAACGCTAGAAATGCGGGCTCGGGTGAGATCCGCGAGCCTGGCGGCGTTCAAGCGGCGCCGCGAGGAGTCCTTCCACCGCACGGAGCTGTGGCCCGGGCAGCGCGAGTTCCTCCAGGCGGAGCGCGAGCGGAAGAAGCGCCTGGGGATCCTCACGCGCAAGGTACGCCCCTTCGCCGCCGCCAACCAGTGCCCCCGGCGGCGCGCGCAGCCGTCGGTGGCCACCGAGAACGCCACCGGCACGCACGTCGCGTTCGTGAGGGCGGCCCCGCCCATCCCCACCATGAACAGCCCGCTCCTCCGGCAGCTGGAATCTAGGCGGGAGAGCGACACCTTCGTACTCGACACCAGCGTCGCCTGCCTCTTCAAGGATCTCAGGCTGGAGCCATCGCAGGTGACGGCCGACCGGGAGAGGTTCCTGGAGCTCCTCAAGGGCGCCAAGCTCGCGGCTCCGCCGGTGGCCTGGAAGGAGTACGCGCTGTTTGGGCTGTCGAGCGCGATCCCCTTCTCGACCATGTCCGAGAAGAGGCTCGAGGATGCCAACCGGGTGGTGGACTCGCTCATCGGGCTCTTCCGGCGAGCTCCCAAGGGGAAGTGGCTGGCGATGAAGGAGAGTCACAAGAGCCGCGTCAAGGACTACTTGTTCGTCGTCCAGTCGGCCATGCTGTATCCCAAGACCACCATTCTCACCAATGACTCCGACTTTGGGATCTTCGAGGTGATGGCCGGGGATATCGAGCAGCTCTTGTACCGGAGGCACAACTCGCTGTCGCTAAGCTTGAGCAGCGTTTCCATCTTCAATGTGGCCTACGACTTGGGGCTGGATTTGAGGTGCAGCCGCCGCAAGGGGAAGTTTCTCTTCCCTCAAGGCTCTCGAGGAAGCAGGGGCAGTAACTAGCAAAGCCGGCCATCTTTCGGAAAACAGAGAGCGTTATAAAGCAGGGAAAAAGGAAAAGCTGGATTTTTCTCGCTGCTTGAGAACGACCCGGGGCTTGGACTGATCTGCAAAGTGAAATCAAGACGCGTCAGTAAAGCAGCAACAACACGATTTTGATCGGGGACGAAAAGTCGCAAGTTTTTACGAGAGAAATCAAAAGGAAACTTGCCAGAGCTTGCTGGGATGTGACGGGAATCTCATGTGCTGCCGCTCTAGTACCGCTCCCTTTTATTCCAAGGCCCTCTGTCATTCGGATACGTGGTCTTCTTCTCTTCGCCCACAAGGTGTGATATAGTTAAGTTGATATCTTGGTTTAGAACCTCCTGGGAAACTTAGAAAAGAGCTCCAAGGTCCAGGGAACGAGTTTGTGCGTGCCGCAGGGTAGAAGAACTTCCACTGCGAGGTAGAACTTCTTCTCTCCAGCCACTGACTCTTCCAAGCAGCAGCGAAGATTTGCGTTTCCATGGCCACGAAAGGAGCTGCTGGTTCCTCTTTTAGTATCGGAGGAGTGCTTAGCAGGAGGAGCAAAATGGCAGTGAGAGCAAGTAGCAGCAGGAACACCGATGAAATCGTTGATGCAAAGAATCTAGTTGCTACTCGATCAAGAGTAGCGGAGGAAAAGCCTCCAAGACTCTGCACACTGCGAGCGTTCAGCCAAGACGGGGGAGACTCCATAGCCATGGGATCAAGCGCTTGGGACTCGGCCGCCTCGTCTGTTTTCCTCAAGCAACTGGCTGCCAGCGTCCAAGCCACGGCCCAAGCTCAAGACTTTGAGACGATCTCAGGCCGCGCTGCAATGGTACGTTTCTCTCCTTTTGGCTTTCGAGGCAGCTCCTTTGCTCACGGATGATTCCTTCGTCTTTGCAGGTAGCTTTCGCCATAGCTCTAGGACTAGAGGTTGTGACCGGCAACAATGTGTTCAAGGGAATAGAAGTCAAGGAGCTGGGCCAAACGGTGGCCTTCTCGGCAGCGTGCGTGATTTGTATGGCCGCTTTCACTGCTGGCTGGAGTGCAAAGAATCAGATTAGGCTCTACATGACCAAAGGATGCCAGGATTTAGTGGAGTTTATTCTTACCGACGCAATAGATGCCATGTTCTTCGACCAAGATGATTTATAAACGTCCCACTTGAATTTTTCCTGGATCAAGGCAGCGATCACGTAAACAAGCTCGAGAAGCTCTCTTACTCTTGAAGAAGCTTTCTTCATTTCACTAAAAATATCCGCCTTGGAGATGTGACCTTCGCAAACTTAAGCCTGCAAAGAACCAGATTATAGCGCAAAATGTAAGATGCGGATTAAAAAACTCAGCCCACAGACTGAAGTGCTTTTCACTTGTTTAAGCAAAGCCGATAAGACAACTAATGATAATCTAGAGTCTAGGCTCCTGTACCTTATTCGACCGAGGACCAGATCATTCCCGGTCAGAGAAATTCCTTCCACTAAACCTGCAGGAGGATCAGCATCAGTGAGCAGGCCCGGAAAGCTGTCGAGAACTTTTGGAAAAAATAATTCCTACCTTTGAGGTCCTCGATACCCAGCCACTGCTCATAACTTTCCATCATTGCTCGTCCTGTCCTTCGCCTTCATCAATCCCTCCACCACCGAGCGAGCAATCGGATGATACTTCGGACGAGCCTTTGCAAATACTTTCTTTGCAAGCTCCATGCCGGCTTCGTCCTTGCTGTCCAGCAGACCACTGTAGAGAGGACGAAGGTACCGCATTCTTCCCACCATCATCAGCGCCTGCTCGATGTCATTGTAGCAAGCCTGGAAACCCGAGTTGGCCGCAATCACCAGGAACGCAACCCGGAGATCCCAGTTGGGACTCCTCGACAGATGAAACACCGAGTCCAGATCACGGAGTATCATCACGCTCGCCACTTTCTTTGGAAGGCTCTCGAGATAAACTTGCCACTCCAGAGCTTGCCACCCCAAAGCTTCCTCCTTGAGTGACTCGAGGTACTTCTTCCAGGCTTCTTCATCGTAACTCTCGCTTTGGGACTTGAATTCCGCCACCATCCCCAAAACTCTCTCCAGAATTCCAGACTTTGGCTTCGGAGCGTCGGGAGGCATGCCTGGCTCGTAAATCCATCTATCGACGTTCACTTTCTCATCAATCCCCGGGAAGTAATCTCTCAGAAACACCAGGAACGTCTCCGTGTCGATCGACGTAAAGCGAAACTTGGCGATGTAGCGTTCGAGAAAGTCGTCAAATGCCGGACGACTGACCTCGTCCTCGAGCCTCTTGAGAAAGAAGCAGCCTTTCTCGTATGGAACTTGGGAGTATACCTCGTCGGGATCCACATTCTCCTGGTTGGTCTTGAGCTTGGTAAACTCGGGCCTATCCTTGAATCGCTCGATCTCCTCTTCCCATCCGTTCCATCCCAGCCCGTAGTGAAGAGCCACCCGCTCCTTCCCGTCCAAAACTTCCACGATCCGCCTTTCCGCATAGGTGGTGAATCCCTGAGAGACCGCCATTCATTCTTTAACGTCAACATCCTCATCATAATTTACAATCAAACATCAAGAACAGTAGTACCAAGCATGCTCGAGCAATCAAAGAGACAAGACCGCTCGAGGCAGGCAAGATTAACAAAAAGAAAAGAAAAAGATGATCTAAACAAAACAATTGGAATCACGCAAGCGAGAGAATTCTCACCTCGTTGAGCCAGAAATCGTTGGCGGAGGCATTAGTGATGAGATTCCCGGTCCAGCTATGAGCGAGCTCGTGTGCCACCACCGAGGCGCCGCTCCGATCTCCAACGATCACCGTCGGCGTCAAGAACACCATCCTCGGGTTCTCCATCCCTCCATAGGGAAAGCTTGGCGGCAACACCAGCATGTCGAATCTCTCCCAGTCATACGGCCCAAACAGCGCCTCCGCCTGTTCGATCATCCCCTCGGTGGCCGCGAACTCGCGCGCCGCCGCCTTCACCATGCCCGGCTCGCCATACACCCTGGATCGAGCTCCCAGCTCCTCGCAAGCGATCTCTCCCGCCGCGAGAGCGAAGAGATAGGGCGGGATCGGCTGCTCCATCTTGAAAACCTCGACCGCGCGCCCGGGAGCGATCGCTTCCAGCCGCTCCACATGCGCGGCGGACATCACCGCGCGCATCTCCTGGGGGATGTTGATCCTCGCCGAGAACCTGAATCGCGCCGAGGGCGTATCCTGGCAGGGAAAGATGGAGCGCGCGTGGAGAGCTTGGCAATGCGTGTAGACGAAGGGGTGCTTCCCGGAGGAGGCCTGCGATGGATCAAGCCACTGGAGGGCGGACGCTTGCGGCGATGTTGTGAAGAGGATCAAGAAGCGGCTCGTCGGCGAGGGGAGATGGAGCACGAGGCGCTGGCCCTTGATCGGGTGCCGCTCGCTCGAAATATCGAATGCCAGTGGCTTCTTGGCCGGCGAGGAGGAATCGAAGGCGCCCCGGACGAGCAGATCCCGTGTGTCGAGGACGAAATCCCCGGAGAACGCCTGGCGCAGGGTGAAATCGGCGCTGCCGACGATGATCCGCCTTTCAAAGTCGAGGAAGAGATCGAGCGCGATGCTGTCGGTGAGGAGCTGCGAGAAATCTGCGTAAGAATGTGGATCCATATCCGGTCGCTGCTCGCAAAAAAGAAAGGAATCGCAACTACTGTGAGTGGCGAGGGAATGATCCGGCCAAGCTTTGAAGTGAGCTTCGCTCGCGCCTGGATTTATAGCGGCCTGGCACACTGACAGTCACCCTAAACCACTTCTTAAGCTTAAGATACAATCGGGGCCGTCATACGACTTCAACGGCTGGATCACAGTCCAGGTAACACATGCCCTAAAATATTGTCCAAGGAATCTTCTTGTGAATATACTTCGTAGATCTACATTGTTCTAGTCTTCTTCTTTCTTTCTTTCTCGTCAGCCTTTCGCTTCCTTTCCTTGATCAGCTTCACTTCTTCCTTCTTCTTGGTGTTGCTCATCTGTAGCAGCAAGGTCATTAGCACAAGAATGTAACCTTGTCACTAGAAAAAAATGAAGAAAAGTCTTACCTCCATGGCTTGGTAGAGATTTCTCTTGTTCCTGGACAGCATCATCTTCGCCATGTCCTTGGGATCGTCCTCTTTCGGTGGCGGAAGGACCTCACTTTCTGGCACATCCGCAAGAGCTTCCTCTTCTCCTGAGAAAGATTTCCCCGCCAGCTCTCTCCTCAAGTCTTCGGCATAGGATTTCTCCATCGCAGCTAGCTGCAAAGGCAAACCACACAAGAATGCTTACAATGCAATGTTTTCCAGACGTCCTACCTCGCGTTCCTTTTCGGCTTCAAGATCTTCCCGACGCCGAGCAGCAGCCGCAACCAAAAGTTCACCTTCATCGATCCCGGATTCACTTCCTGGCAGTGGCGCCAGCTGCTGGTTCGCCGCAAGCCGCAGCCTTTTGATGGTATCAGCGTACTCTGGAACGTGTCCCTCCGCCTCGTTATCCACAAACGGCGATAGGTGCGGCGGAGGAATCCTGGCATTCTAGATTCAGTGACGCGAGCCACGCAGAGCAGCATCACTCACCTTCCAAGGAGATAAGGCTCCGTTGGCAGCAGGATCCTGTTGTTCGCACAATCGTACACCCATTGCGGCTGGACATAATGCCTCGATAGAAATTTGTGTCCTTGTGTTGGGCGATCTACAATCTGTGATTGAACAAACGATCAGCCTAGCTCGTACGAGAATGAAGTTACCTGATGTGTAATGACTTCGTCATTTTCCGGAAAAGGGGCGCCATCTCCATCCCAGGATACTGCACCTCCGAAAGAACGAATAACAAACAATAACGACTCCCTCGGAACCTGGAAGGTCCAAACGTTAGAAAAGGAAAGAAAAAACACGAAGTCAATCTCTTACCTCTCTCCCCAAAAAGAAGGTGAGATTTTGAAACAAGCGCCTGCAGGTCCGTGTTTCCAGATCCTCATCTTCGATAACGTCATCCACGTCCATAGCTTCAGTTTTGACTTGCACTGGAACGTCTTGTGGCTTCTCCTTCTCCTTCTCTATTTGCTTCAGTCTATCTTGCAAAGACGCTAGTCTTGCTTGAGACTCCGCTATCCTCTTCTCTTTGTTTTCTGCTTCCATTAGGCTTTGCTGTTCGTCCACAGAAACAGGAGCATCGTCTTCTTTCGCCGAGGCATCTTCCAAGAGAGGGGCAGATGTAGTTCCGCCAGCCAAGTCCTTCATCAGTGCATAGAGTTCTGGAAGTTCAAAACGACGTTAAACGGAAATTTTACTCACGTAAGAGTTCACAACCTGCAGCAGCCTGCTCCAATCGAGGATCCAAAACTGGAGGATAGTTTAATCCCAGGGAATGGTAAAGTTTAAAATTGACGAAACCCAGAAGCGTCTGTAGAAGATAAGCTGATCAATAGGAGAAAAAACAGAAAACAGCAACAAGTACCTCATAAAACTCGGCAAATGTAAGCATCACCCGAAAGTCGACGTCCTCCGGAAGAACCTGATTGAGAACATGTGGAGTCAAGTACGTGATCTTCTGGCCCGATACTTCGACCTGCAAAGTAGAAAACCATTGGTCACTATCAATTTAGACTGAAACTTAGCACACCTGATAGTAGATCCCTTTTACAGAGACGAATATTTTCCGTAAAGAGTGTGTTCGCGTAACATATGCTTGCCATTCAAGACTCAGCCTGCCACCAAAACATCACTACGTGATTCAGGGAAAAGAATGGTCTAATACCTTCGACAACTATGCACCCGCTCAAATGGAACGCTATGGGTTGTGTCAGCCGGTAGAGTAGCGAACAAATGGATCATAGTCAGAGGATCCTCCAAGTCGCGAACGGCATCAATAAAAGAAGGATACCTGATACACCAACAAATATCTATCTTTAACGAAGATTACACAATTACTTCTTACCTCTCCTTGACTAGATGATCAAGTGTGAAAGATGGCCGATTATTTTGCAAACGATGCGCAAGGTCTGTATTGTATTTGGCCCTGGCCTTGGTAATTTTCTTCTCGTAAGCACGAATCTCCCTGTAAGTAGTGTTACAAAATGTAAAAGAGAGAGAGAAAAAAAACCAAGGATAGGAAGAATTACCTGCTTTTCTCGAGGAGTGGCTCGTGCAGAAGGAAGTTTATGTCCTTGACATGATAGTAAGTTTTGTTCTGCCCTTCAAATTTTTTCTTTGGTTCTCTGGGATGGATTCCCTTGAGAATGCACAACCGCCTGTGTAAATTTGACGATTTCAAGATAAGAACCAGTAGCGTCTCCAAATACCTGAATTCGGGGAGCTTGATTTGGAGCCGATTGAGCGCCTTGTTCCGAGTAATGTATTTCGCTGCATTCCCCGGATTCCCGCGCCTGCCAGTGTGGAGCTTGCGCTTGGCCGCCTTGACAGCGTTCTTCACCTGCTTCACCTGCGAAGACGAAAGATCTGAGCACATTGCTCGAGCATCGCGACGAAACACGCACCATTCTCTTCCGCCCGCCCTTCTCAAACCCTAAACCCTAGAATTTCGATCGCATATTCCACGCAAGAATCTTGGTCACATTGAAGCGGAATATACTACAAGAATATACAGTCGTGCTATCGTGCTACCGTGCTGTTGCTGTGCTCTCCACATCGTCGATGGACGTCTCTCATTCTCGCGGCGGATCTACAAATCCCACTGCACGACCAATCGAACGAAGCGACGCACGCATTCCCAGCTCGGAGCTTCGATTCGCAATCTGGCAAATCCAATTCAGCTGTGAGGGATTTTAGTTGAAGTTCACACGATCGAGTGAACACACCTGTAGTTCCGCAGCACAGGCTCCGGTCATTGATGTGCTTCACGTTTAAACCGATGAGCCAAGCTCCCAGTGACACATCCTCGTTTGCATATCTGTGGAGAATGTCCCTGTGGAGAAACCAAATGAGAATCTGGACTGGAAACAAAAAAACAGGAGATTTACTTGTTCGCCAAGATATATGCTGCCAGATCCTGAGAGATGCCATAGAGTTGTCCCGTTGCGTGCTGGAAGTATCTATTCCCATCTCCTCCAAACTTTCGAAACTCGGGCTCGTAGTACTTCCCACCCCTGAGTTCATGGAAAACCAACAGGATCATGAATTAGCAAATGTCACAAAGCTTACTTCTGGGAAAGTACAGCTCCATGTTTCATGCAACCAATATAAATACCAGGTTTCGAGCGGTGACGTGCCAATGTCTTGCCAAGTTTTTCTGACACACAAAAACTGTGAAACGCTGTTAAGGAAAAGCGAGAGATGGCTTACCCAAGTTTACATGAACATCATCGTCGACTTTTACGTAGAAATCTGCATCCCAAAGCGACACGGCTGTAGCAAAGTACGCTTTGGTCTTGGCGGATAGTTCACGATAGCCTTCGATATGATCATCCTGGAATTCCAAGTAATCAGAAATGGTTTTATGTTGAAGGGTTTATAGCATGTACCAGCCGGAGAAAGTCCGAGTAGAGCTCATCTTCAGCATCAATCGTACGTTCTAAAATTCCACCTGGAGTAGCACTAAGGATCGAAATAATCAGGAAAACAGGAAACACAAAACAAGTTCCTACCTGTGACCAACGACAAATCTGACAACAATGCCTTTCTCCTTTTCCAGTTTCTTGAGCTCCGCTCCTGGTACGAGAGAAACTTAGCCACCGACAAGGAACCAAAATCTTTAGAGAAAACTTGACTTGCCTCTGGGCATCCATGTCTCACGGACGGAGTCTCTGCGCTTGCGGCTTGTAAATGCAGTGTTTATTCCTACAACAACGAGAACTTTCGGTCGTTGTTTGATCCTAATGCTAGCGTTCCCAACACTCCCGCTTCTATAGAGCGTTGTTGGGCTCGTTGATCTGCTGCACAGACAAAAAAAACTATGTTGACATTAGTTTTGGGAAGAGAACCGCTCGGAAGGAAGATCTAATGGGAATAAAGAAAAGTTCTTAAGATCCTGTGGAAGCAAAGCTTTTAACGTGTAGTGTGCAGCACTTCCACTGGGTGACCACGAGCTTTCACAGGCGCCTTTCTGCGCATTCAAGCTCTAGAAGGAATATAACCCCTTCCTGTGACTGTCTTTTTCTACCACTGCCAGAAGTAAAAAAAGTAAACAACACTTTCGCTCGATTCACCCAAGCAATGCAGCCCAATGCAAGCACAGCACACACAGATCTAGACTGTGCAAAGGAGAAAATCTCAAACAAATCGATGGAATACCTGCTGGGAGAGAAGAATCCGATGAAGAAGCTCGCGAGGCACAGGACCGCGACGCATAATTTTGGGGTAAGAGCGCTCGCGGCCGCCCTCCCTTTGATCATTGCCTGTGAGGAGAATGAATCCAGCGCCGCGGCGGAGGATTTGCCCTTCATTGCGTGCCATTAACTGCTGGAATCAGCGCTGGAGCTTGGAGCCGACGCCAAATCCTGTACCAATCCCCGCGATGCTATGCCTGCGCTGCCGGATCCAGACTGCATTCTTCGATCCAAGGCTGGAATTCGCGATATTTCGCTGGAAGGTCCTGGAATCCCAGAGGCGCTTGGAAGCTCTAGCTAAGATCTCGAGTTCTCTGACGCGGAAATAAGTGAAGGAATAAAAGGAACCAAATAAACGAATGGGCTTTGGTTAGGGTTTTTTGGAACAGAGGAATGGCGCTGGCGCGACGTGATCGCACCGAGGCGTTTAGGGATGCCGTGCGGGCGGCGGCGGCATCGATTCCACAATGTGATGAGGTGAGGTTTCGCGATCCAGCGCTTAGATTTTGCAGAGATGTTTCTTACGGACCGGTCCAGGTCAAGATCGCCTCATCTCTGATAATGCACAGGACACTGGAGCTTCTGCCTTTCACAGCAGCAGCATTGGAGATTGTATGTAATCGCTGCTCGAGTTTTTCTTTTGTCGCGCTCGTGATTCTGGTGTGCGGATTGGATTTCATGCAGCTTGGTCACATTCGGACAATGGAATCTTTTATTTTGGAGCGGCGAAAGGATTATCTGGATCGACAACGATGTACTGAGGAAGAACGAGACAACATCGAACACGAGGTGAATTTTTGTGCTTGTTCCTGTTTTTTTGGAATGTGATGTTCTTTCTTCTTTCGTTTTGTAGGTGGGGTTATCTGTCAAGGCTTGCAAGCAACGAATTGACGACTTGAAGAACAGTATCGCGGGTGGAAAAAAATTGTTTTGGAAAGGAGCCGTAAACGCTGATTTGAATGCACACCAACATGGCATAGTAAGAGTCTCTAGAGGGTTTAGACTTTCGTTGTTTTATGCATGGCTCTTTCAGGTGTTGATGCTCAGCGAGAAGTTGCATGCGGTGACAACCATATTTGATGCCTTAAGAGCTTCCAGGTTTCAGAAGGCGCTGGATAAAACACTACCAAAACGAAGGCCTCACCTCCAATCTGCCACTGCTCAGCTGGAAGCCGAGCTATCCAACAGAACCGCTGCTGCTACTTCGTTCAATAGGGAAAATCTTCAAGAACTTCAGCCTTCCCAGGCACAGATTGTTCTTGACAGCGAGACTAGAGCTCTGCAGGTAGAGATTTGATATCCTTTTTCTCAGTGTTCCTGTTCTGTTTCCAGGAAGAGCTGTCCAACCTTCTAGATACAGCGGAAGACACTGAAAGAAAGATGCTCGAGGTGTCGGCTTTAAACCATCTCTTCTCTTCGTACGTCTTCCAGCAATCTCAACAAATCGAGCTTTTGTATCAGCAGGTTTGTGCTTGTTCTAAGATGCATTCAAAAACACGTCCATTCGCTTTCCAGGCCGTTGAAGCGACTGAAAATGTCAACAAGGGAAACAAGGAGCTCAGGAAGACGATCGAGCGGAACACGAGCAGTCGAACGTTTCTCCTTATGTTCTTGACTATCCTTCCGCTGTCGCTGCTCTTCCTCGACTGGTACAATGGCTAACAATAAGTTTCTGAAAGATGGTAGCATCGCTCTGTGTTTCTTCAACTTGGCTTCAGCTCGCCAGCCTCTGAAGGTAACCTGTAAGAGTGAAAGCTGTGCTTAGAGAATACCTCGCTTGGGGAAGAAAGCTCATGGTGTTCTCCAAGAGATGCACGACGATGGCTACACTCTTAAGAAGAAGGAATACGCGTCCATTGTCTTGGGCCTGCTTAAGGACCGAGAGACATCGTACAGGACATGACGAGCAACAAGAACTTCAGTCACGCGGTAATCTTATCCGAACGTGTTACGACAAGGTTGTTTGCCTTAAGATTTTCAAGATGATGGTCGCTCAAGCTGGATTGCACAACAAAGAGGATGCCGTCTCAAATGGCAGTTGACGACGGGGCCTAGGCATTGTTGAGCCTGCTGAAGGAGAGTGATTACAACATGACTATAGACTTGCTCCGTGTCTAGAGCAAGCATGCAATGTTCTCGACAAGAAAGCTTCAGGTTACGCTCGTTATTAGTTCCTTCAGGCAACGTCTTAAAACGCTGGGAATTGTAGATAGCTGATGTTTTCCCTCGTAATTTCACTGATATAGGCCGCACTAGGATGAGGACAAGAAATGCGATCAGTACTCCCCCCTGATTCTGCATTTCAACGTGAGTTTCACAAACAGGTCCTAAGCTCACGTCATTTTTGCTTCCTAGATTATGGATGGAGATAGACCATGAAAAGGCTACACGGATGCTATAAGACTTGTGTGGTGGTGTTTCTTATGGCCAACTTTGATGTAGTCAGCGCAACCAACAGTATGAAGTGTTTACAGTTCATTCAGAGCCTAACTAAGGAGCAAAGGACTGTACTCGTACATGCATGCAATGCATTTGAGCTCTCTCGTGTCCCTCTAGTCTTCATTTGTAGCGCGCACCCGCTCCAAACAGTGGATCACAACCTAACGTAATCAATGCTCGGGCCTGTCTTGATCAAGCTTGCGAGCAAAACGTTTTTATTCTTGGCTGATAAGGTTTTGGAGGTTGCTGCCTTTTGAGGTAGATCTCTTCTGTTACAATGTTACAACGAGTGTGATGACCCCTATGTACAATCCATATTTGCTGGCAGAGGGTGAAGGCCAAGGAGTGTGATCGAGGAGTTTTTTATGTATTTCAATTTTGAAGTTTCTCGAGGAAGAGCAGCGAAAGCGGAAGGATCGGCAAGGAGAAACGTTTGACTGCTTGTGTTCCGCTGGATCGTCTTCCTGAGCTTCTTGTTTCCCTTGTTGAAAGTTTTAGTTGTCGAGGAGAAGGATTTAACTTCTCAAAATCTCCTTCAATTTCTCCGTCACAACTGCGAACGTTTCAACACACCAGATGCAGGTGGCCAGGACCCAGTCGAATTGCGTTGATATAGTTCGTGGGGCTGGCAACAGCACCCCAACGAACCTGCTCATAGCCGAGCTACCCTGCTACTCGTCAATGTTCAAGAACTTTCTTGACAGCGAGGTAGAGAATTGATTTTTTCTCTCGCTGCATCCAGAAGGTTGAGCAGGATAGTAAGGAACAAAAAAAAAAAATTTGAAAAATGCTCGAGGTGTCGGCTTTGGACCATTTCTTCTCTTCCTACGTCTTCCAGCAATCTCAACAAATCGAGCTTTTGTATCAACAGGTGTGTGCATGTTTTAGCATTCATAAACACGTCTGTTTGCTTTCCAGGCTGTGGAATCGACTGAAAATGTCAACAAGGGAGCAAGGAGCTTCAGGAAGACGATCGAGCGAAATACAAGGAGTTGAACGTTTCATCTTTGTAACACCACCCATGGCCGTTAAACCCTAAAACCCTGGCTAGTATGGTGCTTGCGATGCTGAGAGCGAAGAGCGCCTTCTTCCGGTTTGCGGCATTTCGGTCCATTGGAGCAAATGGGTCGCGCTCTCTGGCAAGTGTAGCTCAGGCCCAGGTAGCAAATCCGCCGGAGGAGCTAGATGAAGCAGTTGTGGGAATGATTTTGGAGTCTTTGAAGGAGAGGCCGCAAGGGGAGGCTTTGGACGACGTAATGCAGCAGTGGAAGGGGTCAGTCGGACACAAGGCCGTGAATAAGGTGCTAGAGCAAGTGAAAGATGGTAGCATCGCTCTGCGTTTCTTCAATTGGGCTTCCAAGCAGGAGGTGTTCTCCAAGCACAGCTTTCATTCTTACAGGCTACTCCTTCAGAGGCTAGCGGGGAAGGAAGCTCGAGGTGTTCTCCAGGAGATGCACGACGGTGGCTACACTCTTAAGAAGAAGGAATACGCGTCCATTGTCTCGGGCCTGCTCAAGGAGAACCACTCCGAGGAAGTCATTGGCATCGTACAGGACATGACTAGCAACAAGAACTTCAATCACTCGGTTGTCAACCATCTGATCCGGACGTGTTACGACATGAAGAAGCCGGAAGTTGCTAGTAAGATTTTCAGGATGATGGTCGCTCAACCTGGATCGCAAGATGCCGTGTCGAAGGCTGCTGACGACGGGGCCTGGACAGTGTGGAGCCTGCTGAAGAAGGAGAGCGATTACAACATGACCATAGACTTGCTGTGTAGAGAGGGGCTTCTGGAGCAAGCATGCAATGTGCTCGACAAGATGCTGGAAGGCAAGTATGAAGCGACGACGTTCACATACGGCCGCCTCGTAGATGGTTTCCTCAGGCTTTCCAAGTTCTCCGAGGCCTTGGCAGTCCTGGACGTGATGGCTGAGCGTGGCTGTATACCTCCAGCTATCGTTTACAATCAGCTTATCGACGGGTTGTGCAAGGCAGGGAAGGTGGAGGAGGCTTTTGAGCTTTCGACGACAATGGTTAAGAATGGGTGTTCTCCCACGCTGTACACGTACAACAGTCTCATCAACGGCCTCTGCCTGCAAGGGAAAACTGATGAAGCCAGGGACTTCCTACAGGAAATGGCGGATTCTGGTTATAATCCAGACGTCGTGACTTACACAGTTCTCATAAACAGTCTTCGCAGGGATGGTAACTTCAGGGCTGCAGTAGACGTGTTTGACGAGATGGTCTCCAAAGGAGGTTGCGTACCCGACCGAGCGTCATATATGCCGTTACTCATTGGGCTTTGCAAAGAAGGATGCGTTCAACTTGTTCAGGAATTTCTGGAGAAGCACAGGGCTCGACTTGATCTCGGTAGTTTCTTCCACAACTTGCTCATAAGCACCCTCTCCAAGCACGGGAAACTTGACGATGCCAGGAAGGTCTTTCGGGAGCTGGCGTCTCCGGAGCTGGTTCACTTCAACAGTTTCATGTCGGCTCTCTGCCAGCGCAAGCTCATAAGCGAAGCGTTCCAAGTCTACGAGCAGCTCCAGAAAAAAGGCCTGGTTCCAGACACCTATACTTATACAATCCTCATCGGGGGACTGTGTGACGTCGGACGAACAGACCAAGCGCTCTCGCTGAAAGACACGATGATCCAGAACAACTGTAAGCCGGACAGTGTGACTTACGGAATCCTCCGTGCTGGTCTCCTGAAAGCTGGAAGACGGACTGACGCGGAGCAGCTTAAAGCTCAGATGCCAGCAGCAGCCGGAGCAGGGTCGTCTTCCTGAGTAAGATCTCTTGTTCTTTCTTCTTCTAATATAACTTTACAGAGAGTTTTGGTGCTTCTCGCCTTCGTTACTTTCGTCCTCACTAGACTCCATCTCAGTCTCCTCGTCGTCATCGTTGTCCTCCTCACTCGACTCCTCGGCATGCATCTCGTAAAAGCTTTTGTACCGGCTGATGATCCTCTGGCACAGGTAACTCTCTGGCTCCTCGTACTCGAGGATGATCTTGAGGTACTTCAGGCCCTCGCGAAGCCGGCCTGCATTGGCAAACGCTCTAACCAAGATGCCGTAAGTTATCCCGTCTGGTACGAAACCTTCCTTGGTCATTTCAAAGTATAGGAGTTCGGCCTCTCTGCAGCGGCCAGCTTTTCCGTAAGCATCCATTAGAGCTGTGTAGATTTTGGTGTCTGGAACGATGCCGGACTTTCTCATGTCCTGGAAACAAGCAAGAGCTTCCTGCAAACAAAGTTCTGGAGGTAAGCTTTCCTTTTGCTTCCGCTTTCAACTGGAAACTAAATTCTTTTTCTTGTAGGAACTCGTTACGTACCTGATACATTCCATGGTGGCCGTAGCTCTCGATCAGTCCAGAGTAGGCAATGATGCACGGTATGCATCCTGCCTCGATCATCTCGTCCCATAACTTCGCAGCTTCAGTATAAAGTCCGTGACGGCCGTAGAGACTGAGCATGGCACTGTAAGTCACAATGTTTGGAACGACTCCCTTCGACTTGAGATTCTCGAAGAGCTGCGTAGCTTCCGCGACGCTTTGCTCCTTCCTAGCGGAGCTCAGCATGATGTTGTAAGTCCAGATGTTTGGCCTGTATCCAGCCTCGGTCATCTCTCTCAAGATTTCATGAGCCTTCACGAAGTAGCTCTTTTTCGCGTAAACGTCGAGCAATGTGTTGTAAGTTACCTGGTAAGAAGCTCTAATTAGTTCTTCCGTTCCTCTATCTCTTTTAAGTTTCTTACCTGATCAGGAGGAACTCCTTTGGTGTCCATCTCGTCTAGCAGGCGTTCCATGTCCTCGAGCAGGCCTCGCTTGCCATACATTGCGATGGCGATGTTGTAAGTATGCACGTCCTTCGCGCAGCCAACTCCGTCCATCTCGTCGTAGAGCTCTAATGCTTCTTTGAACAGGCCTTTCCTCCCGTATCCCTGGATGAGCGCGTTGTAAGTCCACGAATTTGGAGACTCTCCCTTATCTTTCATCTCCTGGAAGAGTTTTCGACAGTCTTGCAACCTTCCAGCGTTCGCATACTCTTTAATCAGGTTTGTGTACGTGACCAAGTTGGCTGACACCTTGTCTTGCTTCATGTCGTCCAGGATCTTTTCTGCCGCTTCCAGTCGGCCGCTGTTTACCAGGCCATTTACGAGGCAATTGTAGAGTATCTCATCGGGTTTCTTGCCGCTCTCTTTCATCACTTCAAGAAGCCTTAGTGCATGGTCGAGCTTGGATTTTTGCCGGAGGTAGCCGTGTATAATGACGGTGTAAGTCACTACAGTGGCCTCACAGCCATCCTTCATCATCCGGTAGAACAAGCTGCAAGCGTCTTCCACGAGACCGTGCTTCACGTACCTGATTCCACCATCGATCACACAAAGACGTTTTGAGAAAGTGGATTTAAACAGCTTACGCATGAATCAGCATCGTGTAAGGTACTGCACTGACTTTGAGCTTCTTCTTTTTCATTTCCTCGAGAACATCCCTCGCTAATCCCAGCTTTCCTTCTCGTGACAGTATCCCGATTATGCAAACGCAGTTTTGCTCGTGGAGCTTGTACTCGCTCTGCTTGTTGAGGAAAGAAAAGAGTTCGCAGGCTTTGATTCGCGATCCTCGAGCTTCAAGTTCTTGCATAATCTGGACGAGAGGAAAACGAAAAACAAGAAAAAAAGCAAAACGGTGAGTTCTTTCGTTTGTTTCAAGACAAAGCTGACCTGCCTCGTCCCACAGGAAGGGCCGATTCTTGACGAGGCCGACCAGGCCCTGCATATAACTCACAGCTTCTTCACCGGAGCGTTTGAGAAGTCCAATGGCCGCCTGCGAAGATATCTTCTTGCTGTGCGGTACTTCTTCTTCCATTCTTTTCTTCTTCGTCTTTCGATCCTTGTGTGGAGGTTTGACGACGAAAAGACTGGTGCTACTTCCAGGCCTCGGATTCTCTGGCTGCTGCTGGACATCCATTAAATCCAAGTCCCAGACTCCGTGCTGGGAATTTCTATCCGGACTTTTACTTCGCGAAGACTCTGGAGGAACAATACTAGCGGTGCTATCGGAAAGCACAGGAGCTCTGGTGGGCTTTGTGACGAGGGAAACTCTTCGCTGCGAGAGAGAAGAACTACTCTCGTCGCCTGCTGTTTGGGGCGTGGAATCAATCTCTGGAGCGGCATTTCTCACGACTCTAGGAGTGTGGTATATGGAGGCGCTAAAGATCATACCAGTAGAGGCGATGGAGCTCTTCCAACCGCATCGATCCATAGCCATTCATCGAGATAAAATGGGCTTTTCTAGTTTCTTTTTTGTTTTAAAGTAAAGCGATGGGTTTTAGTTAGGGTTCTTGCAATTAGGGCTCTTGGTGGATGAAGGCCCTGTGGCGGATCCTCTCGCGGCACTCGCAGATTCAGCGGCAGCTCCAAGGCTCTCGGTTTGTTCACAGGTGGTTTGATCCGGCGGCTGTCGGATTCAGGCCTGCATTTGACGCTTCGGAGATTCGAGCAGCGAGACGAGGATTTTGCACCGTCGTTACGGGGAATGGGAGTGCTGGGAATGTGAATGCGGCGCCTAAGCGCGTAAAGAAGGTGATTAATACTGCCGCAGTGCATGAGAATGCCGAGGCAATTTCAACGAAGAATGCCGAGGTGGTTCCATCAACGAAGAATGCCAAGGCGACGAAATCTAAGGCCAAGACTGCTGAGGTGAAATCTACCGCAGACAAGAAATCGAAGAATCTCAAAACTGTTACAGCGAAAAATGTCGAAGCTTCTTCCACAATCAAAGCTAAGAACGAGGAAGCAATAGTTCTCGAGAAGAAAGTTCTTGGAGCGAAGAAGAAAGATATCAAGACTTCTTCCACGACAGACACTAAGAATGAGGCCCAAAACAAAGCAACAGAAGCTTCTCAAGCAGATAGAGCCCTCGAACAGACAACTCTCGGGGGTCCTCTGGCAGAGAAAGTTCTCGAGGAGAAAGTCCTTGGAACTCCTCCTCTAGCAAATGCTCTTTCGATCGTTGTTGAGTCTCCGCCAGCTTCTAAGGTGGAAACGAGACGATCGGGAAGAAGACCAAACAAGCAGCCTGAGAAGCTGGACTTGGGGAAGTACTTCCAAGCCGTTGGCGACGATGGAGATGTGTTCCAGGAAGAAGAGCTGGATCTGGAGAAACAGAAGAAGGTGGCGAAGCCAGCATTGCCAGAAATGGTTCCCGAGGGGTTTGCCGACCCCACTGCGTTGTTCCAGGCGATGGTCACGTCGCCACCGCTGCCACTGACTCCCGATGAGAAGCTCCGGCTTGGAGCGGTCCTCGACAGGTTTGCCGAGAGAGGCTGGGCAAAAACGCAGGCTCTCGCCGTCTACATCAACTCCAAGTTCTTCCCACAGGCTGTCAGCAAGTTCCGGAAGTTCTTCACGGCGAAGTGTCCGGTGCTTCTCAAGGACGTGCTGCTCAAAGTGGGACCTTGTGATGAAGCTGAGGAGTACCTCTTCCCGATATTTGCCGAGTTTTGCATCTCCGAGTTCTCGAACGAGATAACCAGATACAGGGAGCTAGTCACGTCCGCGGACCTGACAAAGCCACACGCCTGGTTTCCATTCACTAGGGCCATGAAGAGAAAGGTGATATACCACTGCGGCCCGACGAACAGTGGCAAGACTTACACGGCTCTCCAACGGTTTTTGCAAGCTGAGACTGGCATCTACTGCTGCCCGCTGCGTCTCCTGGCCATGGAGATTTACGAGAAGTCCAACATGTCCGGAGTTTATTGCAGTCTTCACACGGGCCAGGAGAGGAGGGAAGTTCCTTTTGCAACTCACCTTGCCTCCACCGTGGAGATGGCCGTGCTCACAAAGCCTTGGTCAGTGGCAGTCATTGACGAGGTCCAGATGACAGCAGATGAGTTTCGAGGCTGGGCCTGGACTAGAGCTTTTCTAGCACTGCGGGCCGATGAAGTCCACCTCTGTGGCGATCCAAGCGCGCTGGAGCTGTACAAAACTTTGTGTGCGGCGACGTGTGACGAGTTTGTGGAGCATCACTACGAGAGGTTCAAGCCGCTCACCATCGACCGGACGTCTGCCAAAGGCAACTTCGACTTCATCGAGGCCGGGGACTGCGTGGTGGCATTCTCCAGAAAGGAGATTTTCCAAGTCAAGCTGGAAATCGAGCAGAGAACCAAGCACAAGTGCTGTGTGGTTTATGGAGCTCTCCCACCCGAGACGAGAACGCAGCAAGCCAAGCTCTTCAACGATCCCAGCAGTGGATACGACGTGCTGGTTGCAAGCGACGCAATTGGAATGGGACTCAACCTCAACATCCGGAGGGTCATCTTCAACTCCCTGGACAAGTTCAACGGCGAGCAGCGCATTCCAGTTCCAGCGTCACAGGTGAAGCAGATCGCCGGACGAGCCGGGAGGCGCGGAAGCTTGTATCCCGAGGGACAAGTCACGACGCTCTATGCCTCGGACATCCCCTACCTGGTCGAGTGCATGAAGCAGCCATTCGAAGACGCACCGAGCGCCGGCCTCTTTCCGGTCTTCGAGCAGCTGGAGCTCTTTGCCAGCCAGCTCCCGGATATCACCTTCTCCCAGCTCCTGGACCGCTTCTCGGAGCACTGCCGGCTGGACGGGACGTACTTCCTGTGCAAGAACGACAACTTGAAGAAGGTGGCGGCGGCGCTGGATGCCATCGGCGGGCTGTCCCTCGAGGACGAGTACAACTTCTGCTTTGCGCCGGTGAACAGCCGGGATCCAAAGTCCATGGGCTCGCTCCAGCGCTTCGCGTCGGCCTACAGCAGGAAGATCCCGGTGAGGCTGTCCATGGGGATGCCGCAGAGGACTGCCAGCGACAACGCGGGGATCTACGACTTGGAGACGCGGCACCAGCTGCTGTCCATGTACCTTTGGCTCAGCCAGCACTTCCCGGCGCCAGCGTTCCCAGAGAGGCATCAGGCGGCGGAGATGGCGTCCAAGATTGCCGAGATGCTAGGCGAGTCGCTGGTGCTCTTCACGGGAGAGGAGGCCCGCAAGAGGCAAGAGGAGATGCGAGAGCGAGAGCACGGTGGTGGCTGCGGGAGGGAGAGCGTGAAGCAATCGCAGTCACGCTTATCTCTCCAAATGCAAACCATGAGAAAGCAACTTTGCGCTGCGTGATACCGTGTTCTAGTTCTCACTCCATGATTTGTAAGGTAACTTTTTTTTCTAAAGTAAAAAAGGTCTGAATTAAGCAAAACCCTACAAAAGCTGGGTTTTAAGACATGGGGAAGATCAGGATTGTGATTGTGGGAGACGTCCATGACGCGTGTTGGATGCCCAAGCCCTGGAGCTTCTCAAGCCGGATTTAGTGCTGTTTGTGAGCGACTTTTGGCGATGAGAACGTCTAGATTGTGCAAAAGATAAGCAAGCTAGATTACTGGGTATAACTATGTGGAAAATTTGGTGGTATTATATATGTAATTAAGTGTCTCTTTATAACTCCTTATAACTCTATATAATATAGATTATGCTTGAAATGAAAGAATATAGAATGCATGCGACGACAGGCTTAACTTTGCCGAGTTCCTAGCGAGCACCTACGGCATGGACAACATGGAGCAGAGCGCTGCAAAGATCATGCACCTGGCCCTGTTTGCACCCAAGGGCCACTCGCTCGTGTTCCTCGGCCACAACGGGCCTGCATGCCTGGGCTCTCAGCCCAGTGACATATGCAGCAAGGATTTCGACAAAGGTGGTGGAGATCATGGCGATCCAGACTTTGCTCAGGCTCTCGAAATGGTCCGGGAGTGGGATGTATCCCAGGGTGGCGCTTGTTGTGTTTAGCCATATGCATAGGCAATTGCTGGGCTATAATTGTGGCAAACAACACACAATGTGTTTGTGTGATGCCAAGAATGCTGGCACTAAGACAGGGACTGTGTATGTCAATGGCACTGTTGTGCTGTGCTGCGAGGACAAGAGGACGTGGTGGACATGGCGGCAGGGCGGGTCTCGAGCGTCGGGGAGACTTGGGTTGCGGTTCCAAAGGATGGCCCAGGTTGTAAGTGACGAAGTCTTATTTGCTCACAAGCCAGTAGACTCAAAAGCTCGAGCTCATCAAGCTCATGCCTGCTAGCTTTTCTAGAATCTTTGGTGTGCTGCTGGTTGTATTTCACCCCAAGCTTCGTCCAGAAAATGCTTGGAACACCTGATCTGGCAGCCTGCTCCACATAGGTAGCTTTCATTATTCTTCATAGCGGAGCTTGCCCAGGGTGGAGCCACTAGTGACTTGTAAATATCAAGCTTTCACGCAAACAATTAACTAATTAGCTACAATTATCTAATTAGCTACCTGCAATCTGGGTGAGCTCACTCACATGGGGGCTTGGTGTGGGAGTTGGGTTCTGAGGTGACTGACACAAAGCATGTATGTGCCTGCATGCCTTTCAGGTCCACACTGTCCCTGGGATGGTGTGTTCAATTCGATACCTTGCCAAAGCCTGGTCTTATTTACCATGATGTTTCTGGCATTTGCCGAGAAGGGGACTGAATCCCTGTTCTTTGAGATTTCTTCGAAGTGATGTAGTCTCTTGGAATATGTGGCAAATGTATCCGCTGGGAATCTCAAGCTATATCTGCTGAATCTGATGCTGCAGTGGGATGAAATCGCCTGGACGATCAGGCTGGGAGCATTTGCGCACAATGGGCATCTGGGGCTTATGGCAGCTTCACAAGTTCAAAATTTCTGGCCGAGCATGTTCGGCTTGCGAGATCACTATCCCTTGGCGATCAAGTGTGGAGCACCATTACAAGGAGGAGACAAGAGCAAGGAGCTTCTGCAGGCAATTCTGGTGTATTCTGCAGGCAATTCCAGTGTATTCTGCTGTACAAGAAGATCCCACATCGTTGACTGCATCGACAATGGGTGGCCGGATGTTCACAAGATGATGATCCTTACGAGAAGGCTGGACAGATTTCAGTGACAAGAATATGGGGAGGTTTCTTGTTTTGCCAAGGATCTGTTCAACAACATGCCCTTCGTGCTGGTTTCTGTTGCGGGCTGCTATGAGTGCCGCTATGGATTCAGCTGGCTACATTCTCCTGACCAACATGTACATGGAAGGGTAATCGATGTTGTTGCCCCTCCGTCCGTGTAACACGATTCTCAGAGCAAATGCCGAGTGTTGCTTTTTGGACATGAATAAAGGTTTTTATATCTAGACAAATTTATTTTAAAATTTGTTGTCTTAGAAGTTCTGCCTTGGCTTGAGTATGACAGGCATGCCATTCTTTGGGATCAGGGGTCCTGTAATGACTGGGTGGTGCCGGTAATTTGGGGACAATTTAACCTCGAATCTCTGAAGGATGATAGCAATGATTACTTTGCACTGCACCTCAGAGAAGGCCCTTCCAATGCAGGTTCGAACTCCATAGGCAAATGGCATGAACGCCATGGGATGCTTGGCTGCAGTTGCAGTACCATTCTTGAAGCGGGATGGGTTGAATTCATTTACATCATCTCCCCACAGATCTCGGTCATGATGAAGCGCAACAACATTAACGCTCACCCCCAGTCCTTTGGGAATGAACACGTCCCCCAGCATAGAGTCTTTAATGCACACCCTTGCGATGAGCGGCATTGTGGGATACAGCCTCAATGTCTCTTGCAGAATCATCTCAATCTGCACAAACAAGAACCATACAGCAAGCTTAGTTATGTGGATCAAATGAAAAATCTGATTAACTGGTTACCGTGATTAGCTTGGTGACATCTTTAGGACTAACAACTTCTCCATCCAGAACTTGGTCAACTTCTTGTCTTGCCTTTTCTTGCCAACTGGGATAGAGAGCCAGCATCAACATTGTGAATGAGAGAAGTGGGGCCAAGCTGATAAACCCTGTAGCATAGAGTGTTTTCAACTCGGCAACAATCACGTCTTCCCTAACATCTGGATTATCCAAGAGTTTCCCAATAAAATCAATGTTATTGCCTTCTGTCATCTTCTTTCTTCGCTCTCTCACTTGCTTGCGAACAAGGTCATTCAGCTGTTTCCGTACTTTCCACCGCTCAACGTTTATACCGAAAGGGATCAGCCTGCACCAAAATATCTTCTGTAAGTAAGTACAATTTCCTTAAGCCACCTGTACCTGGCAAATGGTAACCAGCTCCAGGTTTCTTGATCATTTTGCAGCTTGAGCAATGTGATGTTATACTTGAGAATGTTTTGAAAGTCATTGTCTTCCAACCCCAATGTTGTCCTCGCTACAACATCCACATTCAAGCACATGAACTCAACTTGAACATCCAGCTCCCTCTCCACGTCTCCACTGTCCTTCACAAATGCTTCCCATTTTGCCATGACTTGGCTTGTTGCATTGTTCACAGCTCTAACCATTGCCTGTACAATAGAGTTTAGTCAACTTTAGACTTTGACTACTTAATGCAATATCACCTTAACTTCGTCAATGTAGTATCTGGGTGCTACAATCTGTCTCTGCCTGGCCCAAGCTTCTCCATTTGCAAGGAAGAGGCCTTTATGAAAGATATCATCAGACAAGAGTTTGATGAAGTGGGACTTGACGAAATCCTTGTGCTTCTTCATAAACAGATCCCATATCATTTTGGGCTCTGAGATCACAATCCGGGGCTCCCGCAGCCACCAGTTCAAGTGTACGTTCCCTGAAAATCAAAGTGAATTTGAAAGTACACTAATAATGTTGTGAAATTAAATTGATGCCCACCATAGAATTTCATGTTCTGTGCGGCCCAGGGAAGAACATGAGGCAGAATGTCGTGGCTGATCTCCTTCATGTCAGGCTTCCCATCAAAAACGTCAAAGATGGGATTTGGAGGATTGGGTGAGCCTCGTATGCCTTGCTTCTCCATCACTGCACGGAGAGCACTGGGCACCCAATAGTAGCGCATGAGGAAGCTGCACACCATCCATAGAACAGACAATGCAAGCACGAGTGCGACAAGAAGAACCGAGATGACATCCATTATTGGCTGAGACGGGGCCTGTAGAGAATTTATACACCAGCAAGTATTCACAGAGCACCAGCCAGTTAGAGAGATTGAGGCCTTGAAAGCACGAGCCTAAGATGTGCTTGAGAAGACTACTCAAGGTGGAATGAGTACAAGTACTGTAGCGCACCTTATCTCTCTCCCCTTAAGCCAACTGGAAAAGGGGCAATTGCTTGATGAGAGAACCTTTAGTGGCTATTTTATCCCCATTTATCCCCCAAGGTTCCAAGGATCCACGGTGACAGTATATCCAAATCTCATCCCATGATCACATGTGTTACACTCACCCCCCCTTCAAAGATGTCAATGTCCTCATTGACTATTGACTAGCAACCCCTACTGAGCCAAGGGGAACTAACACCTCCATTTCCGCACTTAATCTACCAATCCTTCCATTGTGTAGACCAGCTATTCCATGTGAGGGTGGTAGTTCAACAAGTGAAGTTCTTTTACAGCCAGTTCTTATGCCTCCAACTAAGCGCCAAAAGATATATATAATATATAACGGAAGTGATAATAAGAGCAGTGGGGGGTCCTGGGCCCCTTATGTTTATAGATCTAACATGTGCTTAAGCATATAAGCTCCAGTGGAACACCTCACATGGTGTCCTGTTGGTCCAACAACACACCATGTGAGCTGTTCCACTGGAGCTTATTTTCACACCTTGTCAGCATTGTTTGGTGCAACCACCTCCTTCAAGAAACATTCTTGATGTCCTTAGTGGTTCAAGACTGTCTGGCGGGGGAGAACGTTTGTTGAAGAGATTGATCAATAATGATCCGATTGAATCCCATTGGATTACTTACAGGACGTAGTGTAGCGGTCGGTTCAAGACTGTCTGGCGGTCAGATACTTGAGAATTTGGGTGCTGCTCGCATTCAGCTTGGGCTGAAGAGCTGGACCCATCACGACTGCTGGGTTGATCACAATCAGTTTGATACCATTGCCTTGATACACTGCTCTTTTCATTTTGAAAACTTTCTCTACTTGTCCCAGCGGAGAGGTAGCTAGAGCAATGGTTACTTCAAGTATTGAATTACTCTGTCAGTCAACTCTTTGGAGAAACATCCCCCTTTTCTCGTGATTTCTTCAACATTTAAAAGCCTGAAAATTAAATGATTCCAATCCTAAGGGGCAACGAATAAAGTGCATTGAGGCGTGTACTATTAATAGCAAAACCTTATCCCAACAACCATCTCATTTCAAGAAGCAAATTCTACACCTGCTGCGCAGGAATTAATTATCAGCACCAACCGTGATCCCATGCTAGAATGTCGGGGCTTCGCCAGAGGGAGGGACAATGCACGAGGATGCAGCTCACACCACAAGCATTCGCACCAAGACTCTAGAGTAATGGGAGGATTCACCACTAAAAGATCTAAGATGCAGTCTGGGAGCAAGTGACACTGGCCATTGATTCAATTCTACAATGTTGGGATTGCAGTAGACGTTACTACGACTGCATGCTCTCAACTGGGGCGCCTTCTCGCTCACGGTGAGGGAGAAGGACGTTCCTAGGCTCAAGGAATGCTGCTCAAGACGTTTGAGCCAATCCTCCAATGCCCGATCATGTCTTACAGCCCTTGGTGCTGTATGAAACAATTATTACAAGATATGGCTTCCCTATTGTATAACGGTCTTGACTCTCTTACTTGGCTGCTCTAGCTGCTCAGTTTAACATAGTGTTTGATATGACCTTGCACTCGGTTTGGACGTGGTTTGCTTAATGCTGTTTTTAGTTTAATATTATCTATTCATCCAATTTCTCAATAATTATAAACATATTTATAATTTATCATTTTAAACTTAGAGGTATCAGTTTTCCACAAGCTAATTGGAAAAAAGCGCAGAAACACCGTGATACGAAGGTTTTTTGATCCGAAGGCTGGGTTTGCTCTGGACTCGCTTGACCAGGCGTGTGATCAAGAGGCTTTCACCAGAGTACTTTCGTATCCTTTTGAAAGGGCTCCTCCTCTTGAGGGCAAGCTTTGGGAAGCCGTGGACATGATGAAGGGTTTGGGCTACAAATGCGAGATTTGTGTGTTTGAGAATGTTCTTCGTCTGTCACCCAATGAGAGGCTCTTTCATGAAATGGTTAAGGAACATCCAGACGTGGCTGCAGAACCACCTGTCTACCTACGCAGATGTAATAAAGAGAGGCCTACTCAAACTGGATGATAAACAACTAGCACAATGTCTTTATGATGGTGTCTGGGGGTAAGCGGGAGAATGCTAAAGAACTTCTTAAGTTGACAACCACAAACAGTTGCTAGGCATAGTCCTAAAGGAGATGCTAAAAACATACATGTTGTCAAATTCGGAGGTGGTTTTGTTATGTGGCATTTTGCAACTTGATGGTTCCTGATACAGATACATGTTGCGAATTGGCTAAAAAACTCCATAAACATGGTATGATTATCGAAGCTACTTATTTGAGGGAATATTATCGTTAACACTAGTAATAATATTAATAATGTTAATTTTTATTTTCCAAGAATAAATAGTAATGTTGGCTTTAAGGTCTTGGAACTGCTTGCACCTCGCTCATCCGCGCCAATTGGCGGGTAGCTAGACCGATTCGATGCCTGTGTTTCATATAAGGCACAGTAGAGATCAGGAACTTAGCAAAGCGGCAAAGGAGTGCTTATTCTTTTTAGAAAAGGTGCAAGGAACGAATTCTTCTAAATCACAAGTAAGTGTCCAAGCACTGTCCATCATATGGAAGTGTTCGAAATCTTCACAGAGCCCCAGTTCTTCCTAAATCGTCTCATCAACGTTGTCAGTGTGTCGAGGCATGGCTACATGGAGGACCGTTGAGGCAGATTCAGGTTAGCTAAAAAGACGAGCTGGACTGGTATAAGATGCTAGCAATGAATAAAACGGGAAGTTGACAAAGTCCAAAGTCTAAGTTCAAATTGCATACCCATGGTTTAGGGTGTTCAATTTTTTTACTACTGACGATTTTAAGCTTTCGCAGTTTAAACAAGTGTTTTAGTTAAGAAAATAAATTAATAGATAAACAATACTCCAGAAAAAGAATTATAAAAAACTTTAATAGATCTGTAAATTTTAAACCATACTTAGACATCTTTAAACAAACCATTTTATTTTTCTTCTCTAGATCTACCATCGCTATATCTTCTAAAACTGCGCTGCACTCTACAAAACTGGCCTCTTGAGTTTTTGAGCTCATGCGGCCTTACCGGATGGCTCCAGTTTGAGCTTCTTTGGAGGAGGATTGCCTCCGGAGACGTAGACGTAAGTGTAAAATGCCAACATTGCAGCACTGCAAGGATCCAACAAAACAAAATCATATGGGAGGCCCACTAAAAGTAATAAATGAATAACTCTACCTGAGCAACGCCATGACCGCGTGGGGGAAGAACAACCGGACCTCCGAGAATCTCCTCAACTCTCTAATCACTAAAAGCGACGCGATAGCTGCAACAAAAGCGACCAACACATGGAGATGAAGCTTTGAGTTTGCAAAAGAGTAAGCATACCTCCCTGTCCGAAAATGTATGATGCCGACGATCCTCCGCGCTTCCAGACTTTAAGGCTCGTAATGCTCAGAGCCAAAACTACAGCTCCCAGAAACACTCCAAAACGCAGCGCTGCAGTACTTCCAGTCAACAAAAACCATAGAATGCCTCCTCCCAGGAGAATGCTCCCTGAAAACCCAAAGAAAACCAAAGAATTAGAAACAAAAAAGATTTGTCCGAATACAATGCAAGCGTACCGTAAGGAATTCCCAGGCAAAAGTCGTGGATCTTGGCAGCCTTCTTGCTCGTCTCTACGAAATGAGCGTTCAGAGCCGTCTCGGCAATGTCCTTGAGCACCGGGTCGGAAGAGCTCTCGGCGAGCATGGTGAGATTTTCCTTGCCTTTGCCGGCGGTCTCTTGGGCGGTGGCTAGGAGCACGGCCCTGGCCTTCTCGGCTTGCTCCCTGAGCTGCTCGGTCGTGTCCCGGAGCACACCCATGGCTTTCTCTGCCGACTCTGCATACACCTGCTTAGAAGTGTCCTGGAGCTTGCCAACATCTTTGAGGTTCTGTACCACTTCCTCCAGCACAGCCTTGGACTTCTCGGCTTGCTCGTCCAGGTCTCTAGCTGCAACTTCTACGTTCTTGACCGATGTATCGAGATCGTCGCTGGAAATTTTCTCTTGGGACGAATCGTCGACTTTAGTGTTCACTGATGCCTGGGAAGAAGGAAAAGAAAAATCTTGGAAGATGGTAAAAATTGTTCTCAAAGAACACTCACCGCATCCTCCACGGAAGAAGAAGAAAATATGAATTGCTGCTGCCGGGCGATGATATTTCTCCTGGAGAGAAATTGCGGCGACGGCGTCACAGCCAGAGGATTGAAACGAAGGCGAGGGTAAGACGCCGCCGCGGCGCCAGCTCCCCGCGAGCTCAAGGAACACGATCGCAGCACCACATTTGGGGGCGCTACAACAGTAGCAGCTGCTGCTGCCGCCATCATTCTCTTGCAAAACCTGGGACAATAGAGAGGGATTTTTGCCCCATCGCTGAGAGGCCTAGCTAGACGTACCTTTTTCGCCTAGATCGCCAAGCGCGCTGATCGAAGAACTAGGTTTCGACAACACACCAGAGAGATTAACATCGAGAACCTTCGTTATTACCGTACCAAAAACTGGACCATGGCATATTCGTACTCATGATTCATGGCCCAAACATTATTTTCTCCATGGTGGTCTCTCCATGATCACCGGACCTGGAGTAGCATTTCTCAGCTTTAAGGGAGGATTCGACGCCGCCGCCGCCGCCGAGCTCTCGGCTATGTCGCCCTTCTTCTTCACAAATGGTGGAGATTGTAGTATCACAGTGTCCGTTACTAGTGTCGGACTTCCCGCTGTTAACAACAGCTCTGGACTTCCTCCGGTTGTCAAGAGCTCTGGAGTTCCTGGCGAAAAAAACCACCAAAACAATCATCCATTGGAACAGCAAAAGAGTTTTTGCTTACCCCGACTTTGATCCACCTCGGTGGACTTGACGCTCTCGGCCTTCTGCTGCTGGAACTCTTGCGCCAGCGAGCAGCACTCGCAGAAGCAGTGGGAGATAAAATCCTGGCTCCGCGATCCAGGCAGCTTGTACTTCTCCCGGAGCTTGGTTCTGTAGTGCGCCGAGAGGCAGCAACACAGCCCGGCAGCGCAGAGCAAGCAATACAAGAGCCCGTTAAACAGGCACGCTGAGAAAACGAAACTCACATAAGAAAGCGAGAAGCAAGGAAATAAACTCAAGAGCTCACATCTTAGATCGTTGTCCACGGTCTCGGCCAAGCGTCCAAAGGTTATGCAAGGAGCGATTCCAGTTACACAACCTGCTCCATGACCCCACTCCAATCTGTAAGGCCAAGGAAAACGCATACGCGTCAATAGAAAACAAACACTTAGACTACCAGTCTCTAAAGAGCTACACGCTATGGCTAAAGCACTCTCAAGCTTCTCTGCAAAAAGGAGAAAGAACTGACTTACAGCTTTCCGGATCGCGCCAGCAGCCGCAAATCCCCGACTTCCAAGCGTTCTCGGGAGCACCGGACTTTGGAACGAAGCCCGGAATGCTCACGGACGATTTCCTCCGCGAGCCGCTCTTCTTCCCGATCGTAGCTCGACTGGCGGTCGGGGGACACCGGACTGGATCGCTTGGGCCCGGCTCCGGAGGATGGCTTCCAGACGGGAAGAGCTCCGCGACGCTCTTGGCGGAGAGTGGAAACACCACCCTCGAGTAAGACGGGCGACTCGTCTCGAGCTCGGCATGGCCGGGTCTCGTCCTCCCGGAGGATGGATGGGATCTCCCTCGCGACCTCCTCGTCGCAAAAGTTTCCATCCTCGAGGACACTGACCTCGGCTCCTCGGCAAACTCGTGGCTTCTCCCTCCACCACCTTCGTAATCAAACACCGGCGAGTCCCCTCGGTAGAGATCCACTCTCATCCTCGCGGACCTGTCCGATCGATGAGCGTGCTCGGAGTCCGAGATGATCCTCTCGGCGTCGCCACTCTCCTCGACCACCCTGCCCGAGAGGTACGTCCCTGCGTCGTCCCTCACGATCCTGCAGCATTGCCTCCCAGCTCCTTTCCTTCCCGGCGGCGATCCACACCTCTCTATGTGCTTCTTAAAAGCCGCCTTTTGCCTGGCCGAGAGGAGAGCCCTCAGCCTGCTGCGCGATTCGGACGATTCCTCGCCCGACTCGGACGGATCCTTGCCCGACGATGGACTTTTGCTCCGGATCGAGGACCCGGTCGCCGGCCGATCCTCGATCGCGAGCGGGGAAGGGGGAGAATCGATCCGATCGGTGTCGCTGGCTGTCTCGTAGGCCGGCGATGGCGGGGACTCTGGCGATTTTGCTTCCGGGGAGCATACCTGGTCTTGGATTTGCTTGTTGCGAATCCCACGTATCTTGGATCGCTGCGACGGATCATAGGACTCGATCGGCCTGTAGTGGAGTATGCCCCTGCTGGGCGTGTCGTCCTCATCCATGTACTCGATGAAGCCCTCCATAGCCGCGAGCTTGGAGGTTAGGGCAGAACGAAGCAAAAATTGCAACTGTCATCTAAAGCAACCAGAATATCCCTAACAAATCGGCAGAATATCTTATTTGCCTGCCAGAATATACTACCCTACCATCTTATTTCGTGGTACCGCGAAAACCAACAAAACTCGAGCACAAGAGAAAAAGAAAAGTTTCCTCTCCTGGTATATACACACACCTTAAAATTCTGTGTTTTCATTCTTTCCGTTGTTTAATTTTTTTGCGGCTATGCTATTTTTTTGTCAATCTGTTCTTGAGTAGGCCCAAACCTGCGAGAGAAACAAAATCGAGTAAGCTAGTTTCGATGGAAAAAAAAAAAAGGCTTTAAATTCCACCTTTAAAGTATGGTCCCAGCTCCCTGTGCACAGCGCGGTTCCATCAGCAGCAACACCGAGGCAGCTCACTTGTCTAGAGTGAGATTCTCCGATGTCGTGGAGCTCCTGAAAGAGAAACCAAACAAAAAAAACAACAGTCAAGCAACACTCGAGAAAGGAAAGGAGAAAGCGAGATTACTGTTGCTGTAAGAACGTCCCAGAGCAAGCATCTCGTTGGAACAACGTTTTGGACTCCGGTTGGATTGCCATAGCCAGCGAAGAGTATGCGGCCGGAGTGCGAGAAGGCTATGGAGGTGACTAATTGATTGCCGGAGGTAACGTACTCTTGGAGCTGATAGCCATACCGCGTGTCGAAGAGCTTGCATATCCCGTCCTCGGAGCCCGTCCCAAAGCGGCATCCGTCCGGCAAGAACTGCACCGCGTTGATATCTCCTGTGTGGCTGAAGAAAGTGCACTGCGCCGCCCGGCCTGGAGCTCGCGAGTCCCAAAGCTTTGCGGTTGTGTCACACGAGCCCGTGACAAACTGGTTAGGATCCTGGCTGTTTATTGACAAGCTGCAAAAGAAGAACAACCTTACGGAACTCGCAAGCGGATCGAACGCAGTGCTCACCTCATCACATCAGACGTGTGACCCGAGGACGACTCGGAACCAAACTGCGCTATGTGTCTCTGTGCCTCCACGTCCCACAAGATGCAAGTGTGATCACCGGAGCTCGTGAGGACTTGAGCTTTCCGCGGCACGTAGCGGCAGCAGGAGATGTAGCCTTTGTGACCGGTGAGCACCGCCGACGGGGCATGGTTCCCAGTGCTGTCAAAGGAGCGCAGCCGAAAGATGGAAACCAGGTTGTCCAGACCTCCACACGCGACGGTCTCGCCATCCGGCGAGAACGCGCAGGCCATCACCCAAGGGCACAGGAGCTTGATCGCGTGCGTCTTCTGGCTTGTCATCGCGTTCCATACTATCAAGCGCCCGTCCTGCGACGCACTTACGATAGTGTCCCTCTCCGACCAGTCGAGAGCATACACCTGAAGAAGCCAAAGCTCTAGAGCATAAAAAAAAATCGCAACTTTGCAACCTTGCCGGTGTGCCCCGAGAGCATTCTCCGCGACTTGAACCTGTCAGCTGCGAATCCAATGTCTCCGCGGCCATGAGTCCTCGCGTACTCAGCAACTGGGTTCACAAAACAACACCGAGAAGAAGCAAAAAAACTAAACTTTGAGAGAGGAGGCAAGCAATTATCACAGACTTACGGGTAGTATCCTGCAGCCTCCGCCGAGTTGCTTGCAGAGCGCTCCTGAGCCTGTCCACCTCATCCTGTGCTCCGAGGATATCCCTCTGGCTCACGCCATTACCAGCCATGGCCTTGAGGAGATTCCCCTGCTAGCGGCTCGCAGCTGGCCAGATTAGTCCCAGCCTGAAGACCCACATCAAGGAATGCTACCAGATCACATTCCTTCCAGCCGCCCTAAGATGCTCGTCCGACCGGAAAACGGACCTTCAAATGAAGCGGCGATAAGTCCTCCCCCCCGTACAACCAAAGTACGCGTACGGAAACGCCGTGAGGACTTGCTCGATCTCTGCAACTGGCAGGATTAGCTCCAGCCAAATCGCAGTTGGGAACAAAAACGAGAAAAAATCAAACCTTGGAAGAACTCTGTCATCGTTTTGGTTCGTGAGTCGTGTTTGAAGGAAACGTGACGTTGGAAGGCCCTGCATCATGCTTGCTTGAATTGGAGAAATGTGAGATGGAAGAAACGCCTCTGTCGCATCGATCTACCCCAGCAAATCGGGGAATTAAAAGCATACTGTTTGTTGGTGCTCAAAGATGCGCCAGTGTCAGAGCACCTGTGGAGGATTTGTGATGTCAAGTGAGGATTTAAGCAGCTTTAACTTGGATATAAACTTCTCTGGTTGCTTGCGACATTTTTGAGAGATCCTGTGCAATTAACACGATTCCCCATAGAAAAAAACACTTGTTTTTTTTTTTCTTGTCTTTCTTGTCTTTTTCTTTCTAGAGAAGAGAATTACCCGGTTGGACACTGCCGAAAGTAAATTGTGGTAAGAGAGTTTTTTCTGGGGGACCTTTCTTTGAAGCATAAAATTGTCTCAGAAAATGTCAGCAAAATTGTCTCAGAAAATGTCAGCAGAATTGTCTATCTCACGGTTCTCACCGCCATCCCTAAAAAACAAAAACCTGGATTACAGCTGCCAGAGAAGGAAATTCCCCAATTCCTGAGGTAGACATCAACAGATTGCTGAATGTAGGGCTTTTGCGAGAAAGAAATTCACTTCAAGAACCCTAAAAAGAAAACCCCAATTTTGTTTGGATTTTTGGCGCCAATCCAGATCAATAGTGAGCAGCCATGTGTTGCCCTGTAGTCCGTCGATCAGAGATCGTCCTGTCTAGGTTTTGCTCTCTTGGATCATCATCACGACTACTCTGGAGTCCCGGAGACGTCAAATGTAGGCTCCCCTGCACGGTAAGGAACCCTAGGGATCTAGTTCTCCTCGCATTCTCGTATGGCGTGGCTCCTAGCGATCTTCTCCCTCGCCATCGCTACGAGGTAATCTCTGCTTGCATCCATCGCTGGGTTGGGTTACTATCGATCATTGACAGGCTGCTACCAGCTTCTACAGCTGGTCTAGCGCTCACGCCTCCCCGGGGATGGAATTCTTACGATTCCTTCTCCTGGATTGTCTCGGAGGAGGAGTTCTTGCAGAATGCGAAGATCCTCGCGAATACTCTCGCTCCCTTCGGCTATGAAGTACTCTTTTACTTCCATGCCATCGGAACTAAACAGGAGAAGTTTGTGTGTTTCGCAGTACGTCGTCATCGATTTTCTCTGGTATCGTAAACAGGAGGAGGGAGCTTCAGTCCAATCTTCTGGCCATGATCTCATCGATGAGTGGGGACGACCAGTTCCAGATCCCAAGCGCTGGCCTTCCACGGCAGGCGGTAAAGGCTTCGCTCCAATTGCTGACAAAGTACACGCCATGGGACTCAAGTTTGGAATCCACGTTATGAGAGGGATTACTACGGTTGCTGTGGCGAACAACACACCGATTCTCGGTGCCAAGGTACGTAATCTTTTTTATCGTTCTTTTCTTTGAAGGGGGTATTGGATCGTGGTTAATGCAGGGATGGAGAGCGAAAGATATTGCTCTCACAAGCCAGCCATGTCCGTGGATGCGAGAGTGCTTTGTTAGCATCAACACGACCAGTGCTGGTGGAAAAGCATTTCTAAAATCACTTTATGATCAATATGCTTCCTGGGGAGTCGATTTCGGTATGGCTTTTCCAAAGTCTTTGCTTGTGTATTCACTTTGCCTTGTCAGTGAAACATGACTGTGTTTTCGGAGCTGACAACATCGATCTAGAGGAGATTCAAGCCGTGTCAGAGGTAAGTGTCTTGCATTTGTTGGATCCACGGATGGAAGGTTATGGATCTTTCATAGGCCATCACAAACACTGGACGACCAATCGTATACTCTTTGTCTCCTGGAGTGCAAGCCACTCCCAGCTTGGCTTCATCAGTAAGCGGTATCGTTAACATGTACCGGATCACTGGCGACGACTGGGACAGATGGGGTGATGTAGCTGCTCATTTTGACGTTGCAAAGTACAAACTTCTAAGCTCTCTCTAGTTATTTCACAACGTGTCGTGGTTAATGCTCTAGGAGTTTTGCCGCTGCTGGTTTGATTGGAGCACCCGGCTTGGGAGGGGGGAAGTCTTGGCCTGACTTGGACATGCTTCCGTTAGGCTGGCTCACTGATGGAGGTAAAGAGTTGAGCATATAGTTAGTTTCAAAGTTCTTCAATTTTTTTTTTTCTCAGGTGCACCTTATGGGCCATATCGTTCTTGTAGGCTATCTTTCGATGAGCAAAAAACACAAGTAACTCGTACATTGAGTTCCTTGTTACTTATGAAGCTCCTCCTTTTCTTGCTGTCAGCTTACGCTCTGGGCAATGGCAAAATCTCCCTTGATGTATGGTGGTGACCTGCGAAATATCGACCAAGCTACTTATGCCATGATCACAAACCCGACTATTCTAGAAATAAACACCCACAGTACTGAGAATACAGAGGTAAGCTTCTGTAAATATGTGCCACCGACCGTTGCATTATTGATTTCCATAGTATTACGCTGGAACACTACCGGGCACTGAGGATGTCCCACTGCTAACTTTGGTTAGCTGCGATGAATCGAGCAGTAAGACACACTGGACGTTGGAAAAGAAACAAAACGCAAGAATTTGCTGGAATGCTTCAAGAACAACATCATCTCGATCATCGGTGCTCTCGGGGTGTTTCAACTGGACCTCCTTAAGTGATTCATCACTCTCGTAAGCATGGATGAATACGCAATGGTTTCGTCTAACTTTGGCTCTTAGTGACACTGAATCCAAAGGTGCTATTCGGCTGTGGACCTCCGACTTTGGTGAGCTTTGCATGGACTCGCAGCCAAACCTTCCATCTAGCATTGGAATGTTTGCAAGCAAGCGTTTCTCGTTTTGCTCCATGGAGAATAGTCAGGTAAGTCGAGGCTTTGCTCTCTTGCATGTGAGCGTAGATTCACAAGCTCTTGTAGGCTTGGCAACTGTTGCCAAATGGCAAACTATTGAGCCCAAGCACTGGGTTTTGTGCGGAGGTTAAGGAAGTGGCACCAATTCGTATATGGCTCGCGCGCGGCTTGAAAGGTACTTGAATACTTCTCGTGGTGGTGTTAATTAGTTGAGACGTCTCTTCAGGCCAGTACTACGTTGCATTTTTTAATCTCGGCCAAAACTCCACGACTGTGACTTATAGCTTGGCGGGCCTCCAACAACGTCAACCCGGATTAAAGCTCGCAACGACGAGAGCTCGAGGAGCACAAGATCCGGAGGCACCAAAAACCCAACCAGGCCTGGACGCGGACGACTCTAGCACCCAATGCACTGGGGAGGAAGTTTGGAGCAGGACCGAGCTAGACAAAGTGGAGAGTTTGTCGGCGCTGGTGCCCTCTCACGGCTGTGCATTGTTTTCTCTCATCTGTAGCGCCAGTGGGGGAAAAAATCTGGCTTAGATCGTGCACAAAAAGAGGGAGAATGGAACAACTTGAAATCCAGCATATTCACGAATATTATGGTTCTGTAGAACTATCCGGTAGCGGAATATCCTAGAGACTGCTGACTTGCCAGAACCCCATTCATTCTAAACCACGATAGAGGTCAACGAAAAACATGATCTCATCAAGCTTAACCAAACGACATAACAGAGCACGAATAGTTCCTTGCTACTGTCTCCAAAAGGAACAATTGATTAAGTTAATCACGAGTTCCTGCTTAGAACTTCCAAGGACAAAATGCAATGGAACTCGTCGGTGTGTTGCACGAACTCTATAGAGAGCGGGATAAAGACAAAAGGCGATCGATCTCGAGAACAAAGTTGATGACGTGAGTGTCGAGAGACAAAGTCACGAAAAGAACTGGGAGAATAATGTGCTCCCGTGAATGTGCTTCTCTTCCGCCGAGAGAATGAAGCACTTCAGGGAGTGGTGCAAAGGCCAGTTGGCCAAACGCATGTTTCAGAAGCAAGAAACTGCCACCTGAAGTTTCAGCCGTGAATATTGAGGCAATCAAACCACCACCACCAAAGCCTGCAGAGACGACAGCGGTTTTGGACACAGTTGAGACGGTGTCTTGCTTCTGAGCCCATTCATTCGAATCCACGTCCATAGAGATCATTGGCAAACAAACAAAACACGATCTCATCAACCATAACCAAACCCCGAACCAAAGGACGACGCCTTAACCAAAAACACGACTCAGTGCTGGCGCTGCTGATGCTCCTGCTGTTCCTGCTGCTGTCTAGCCAAAAGCAACAAAGCACTAAGTTAATCACTCGCAACATTGATCTTTCCTGCTTAGAACTTCCAAGGACAAGATGCAATGGAACGGTGATTTGCATGAACTCGTGAAACAGGATAGAGACAAACGGCGACCGATCTCGAGAACAAAGTTCATGACGTGAGTGAGTCGAGAGACAACAGATTCAGAAAATGAACTGGAGATTAATGAAATGTGTTCTCATATCCGCAGAGAGAATAAAGCACTTATCAGAGGGATTAGAAAGCGATGATACAACAACAATAGAGAACAAAAATGAGAGACAAAATGGGACAAATGCAGAAAACAATGCGGGAAGTTAGCGTCACATGTTCTCTCACTCTCAGGTTAGTACGAAACGAAATATCTCATCACACGTAGCAAATGTACCTGTGCTCGCCGTTAGCCGGCTGAAAAAAGTTGCCACCGAACTCCTGCTCGAGCTGCTGTTCCTCCGGATCAAGCCGCTCCTGCTTCACCGGCGGAGCCTCCTCAGCCTGGTGCTGGACAAAATCCATGGGCAGAAACCCCGGCTGGAAAAGAAGCAGTGGGGGCTGTTCGGGAGGAGCCAAAGACGAGTCCATGACGTTTAGAGGGGGGCCGTGGTCGCCGAGCAGCTGCGAATGAGGGTGGTGAGGGACAACGTGCATTTGAGGCTGGTGCACGACGTGAGGCTGCTGCTGTTGCGGAGGATCAAACACAAAAAACTGCTGCTCCTGCTGCTGGTGCTGCTGCTGGTGCTGCTGCTGGTGCTGCTGCTGATGTTCCTGATGTTGCTGGTGGAGCTGAGACACAAGGAAGCTAAGTTGCTCCTTTGCGACGACTAGCTCCTCCTGGAGCTTTGCGACCTCTTCGCGGAGGGTGGTGATGATGCCGGCGGAGCCGTAGACGGGGTCGCGCTGGCGGGCGTCGGCCTCCAAAATGAGCGACTTGATAGTGTCGTCCTTTTGCGCCGGCTGGACTCCTTCCGTGAGGATGCGCACCATGTTGCTCACGCCAAACAGCCGCTTGCAGCTCATGAAGCACGCCGTGTTTTCAACTGGGAAGTATGGCGCCAGTACGCACTCTGGGGAGCAGCGCCGGCGCTGGAACTTGCACGCCGCGCACGCCGTCGCGCCTCCGCCTGACGATCCTGATCCTCCCGCGGCTGCTCCTCCAGCTTTTGCGCCTCCAGCTCCAGCTCCTCCATCTCTTCCGGCTCCTCCGCCGCCGCCGGCGGCCGCTGCAGTGATGTTGGTGCTGCTCTCCATTGACAGCGTTTTCCCAGTCGCCTTCTCACGATGGCCGCCTCTCATTATCTCCCAAATATCTCACCGGAAACACGCGAGAAAGCGGAAGGTGAGCGATCGCGAGAAAACTTGGAAACAAAGATGAGGAAAACGGAGAAACGATCGCAAGCAAGCGATCGATCGGGAGCGATGGATCGGCAGTGAGCGCGAGTATAGCTTGCCGCGCTTTGGTCGCCTCGCGACCTAAAATTCCAAACAAGCAGGGGCGGTGACGAAAGAGAAAACAATAAAAACAATGGAGTGACGTGGAGGACACCTGTGCAACAAATGCAGCAGCGCAACGTGGCATTTTCTATTTCGATTCTTCTGTGAATAGTGAAGTTTGACGGGGGATAAGACCCTCCATCGTGAGTCACTGGCAGACAACTTTCCTTAAACATCTCTCTCTTTTTCAGTGACGATTTATTCTTCTTTTTACCTTTCGCTTGCGCGCCATTCACCTCGACTCTCTTGGCCAACCGCGAAAACACGAATTCGCTTTTAAGAGATCTCAGCCCGCGCCTGGAAGATCAAATGTACGCATCGATTTCTAGAGCTTCGATTGCCTCGACGATGATCGGCCCGTGATGTATTTCTGCATGGCCTGGAAGTTCATTTTGGAGTAGTTTCTCTCCTGAAAGTTATGATGGCTCACAAAAAACTGAAGCCGAGCGAACCTTTTCGAGCGAGGTTGTAATCCCGTCGTTGATCATCGCCTTGTAGAGGAGCACCATTCTCCCGTCGTTCTTATGGAGAAACCACCCGGTTGACGAGCCCCCATCGCTCGGCGGTCGATCGCGGGTTCTGTTGGCACCCACTGGCCAGCTTTTGTGAGAGCCCGCAAGATGGAAAGATTCTAAACCTGAAATGTATACGAAAAGAAAAACACAAGGAGAGGAACACAAAACCATGAGAGAAGACTTTGGTCTTGGTTTCATGTTTTTTGATGTTTGACTTGAAAAAAGTCATGCAAAGAAACCAAGGCCAAAGTCTTTTCTTATGGTTTTGAAGAAACCACACAAACAAAGAGATGCACTAAGAATTATAAGGAAATGATCAGAAGCAAGCTAAGAAAGATCTCACAAGCTAGCAAAAGACGAATGAAACATACCACCCCAGAGCAAAATGCCCTTTCAGTTGATCCCGTGATTATCCCAACCCAGCGGCGTTGAGCGCCTTGGGCCGTTCGTGAATTAAGGCGTCACTCCCCTGCTGCTACTGGCGTTGATCGATCGACCGACCCATTTAGAATGCTACCTTCTTACGCTAAGCTTCTTTGCGGCTCCCTCTCCCACGTGAGTCGTTATTCGATTCACACGGCCTGAAAGATCAAATGTACGCACGATTCCTTCAAGTTCTAGAGCTTCGATTATGATCGGCTCGTGATGTATTTCTGCATGGCTTAGAATCCTCAAAGTTAAGAAAAATTTGGATTTGGCTTCAAACTTTAGAAAAGCCACGCGAACCTTTTCGAGCTCGAGCTCGAGTGAGGTTGATCCCGTTGTTGATCATCGCCTTGTAGAGGAGCACCATTCTATTGTCGTTCTTGGCAATCACTTCCACCACAGCTCCATAAGCGCAGACGGAGAAACCACCCAGTTGACGAGCCCGAGTGCTCGGTGGTCTAGGCCTCCTGGCCAGCGTTTGTGCCAAAAGATAGAATGATTCCATATAGGCTGTGCAAGAAGTTTTCAAAGGCACTCACATGAAGAAACTGATGTCAAAAGACAAACCAGCTAACTGGAGAAACTGATAATTGGTGCTAAAAAAAACAGTGAAGGTTGTATTTAAACCTTACTTTATAATCTTATAAAATTAAAAATAATTCAAATTTTTCTTCTTAATATAAGCTCAAATAGTAATATTTTAAAGTATTTATGAGTATGATTTTAAATATAAACTTCTTTTATGAGAAGGTTTTTGGTTTGCTTAAGCAAACCTATAGGGGGACTGGGATGGTAGTGGATATACCTAGAATATACTTGGATATTCTAGGATATTCTACCATCTAACGGTTGTTATTCATTTAGATTAATCTTGTATTTATAATTTATAAACATGTTTATAATTTATAAACTTCCTTAAACCTTTTCTAGTATATTCTTTTTTATTCTACCATCTTGATATGCAATAAAATTAATCTTGTATATATAAATTACAAACATGCTTATAATTATAAACTTTATTTGATCAATTGGATTAATATGTAATAATAACACTAGTATTAAGCAAACCAAGCGTTGCTACATGCAACGCGTAGCAATTTTTTTAACAGCTATAAACATAAATTATAATTATCAACTATAACTGCGGGCTTTGGGTTATCACTCATGGTCCTCAAAGAGACATATAGTGAGTGTTAACTCCATTGCGTTTCCTTCCCTTATAAAAGATCTCCGCAAGATCAAATGTACGCACAATTCTTTTGATTTCTAGAGCTTCGATTGCCTCGACGATGATCGGCCCGTGATGTATTTCTGCATGGCCTGGAAGTGATCTGGCTTCATTTTGGAGTAGTAGTCATGAGCTCTCTCCTGAAAGTTAAGAACAATTGGATTTGGCTCGACAAAAGCTTTCGAACTTTAAAAGCTGAGCGAACCTTTTCAAGCTCAAGCGCATTTCCCAGAGCGAGGTTGACCCCGTCATTTATCATCGCCTTGTAAAGGAGCACCATTTTCTCATCATTCCTGGCAATCGCTTCTGCCACAGCTCGTGCCGTCTCCATAAGCTCAGATGGAGAAACCACCCGGTTGACAAGCCCCCAACGCTCGGCGGTTGAGGCCTCCAATGGCAAAGCCGTGAGTGACACCTCACGGGCTCGGTTGACACCAATTAGACGGGCCAGCTTTTGCGAGAGCCCCCAAGATGGAAAGATTCCAAACCTGAAATCAATACACGAATTATCAAAAAAGAAGAAGAAGAAGCAATTGAGTTAACACTCACTTGCTGTGTGTGTCGATGAATTTGGCATTGCTGCTCGCAAAGAGGATATCACATGCGAGTGATAGCTCAAAGCCTGCAGTTATAGCCAGCCCATTGATGGCGCCAATGATCGGTTTCTTGCATCGCTCCATCTGTGCAACGGGATCAGCTGACTTGTCTTTGACATCACCTTTAAAAACTTCCTGTGCAGCTGTTAAATCCTGTATCAACTAGCTTTCGTTAGAATTCTCTGTAAGCGTAGAAGAGCAAAGGACTAAAAAATCTCTAAAGCTATCCCTCCAAATATAAAAACAATGAAAAAAAGACGTTTGGTATTCGTTTCTATGCTTTCTTTCAGTTCATCAAGAGAAAAAACACAAAAGACCAAATGCGGTTTTTTCAAGAAACCACACGCAAACAAAAAAAGAAAAAAAAGAAAGAAACAAAGAGATCCTTTCGGATAGAAAATCTCAGACACCAAGAATTCTAAGGAAATTATCAAGAGTCAAGCTAAGAAAAATCTCTCAAGCTAGCAAACGATGAATGAAACATACCACCCCAGAGCAGAATGCCCTCCCGGACCCCGTGATTATAATCACTTTGACCTCTGGATCGCTATCCAGCTGCTTGAAGATCCCGGCCAGGCTCGTCAGCATTGGCTTGGTGAGGGCGTTGAGCGCCTTGGGCCGATTGAGCGTGATCGTGGCGATCCCGCTCCTTTTCTCCACGAGAATTAGGGCCTCACTGCCCTGCTTCTGCTGGCGTTGATCGATCGGCCGATCCATTGGTTCGAGACTAGAATGCTACCTGCTTACCCTAAGATCCAGCTATTTCTTCTCCTTCTCTTTGCGGCTCCCTCTCACTCATTCGCTGAATGGAAATGACGCACCGCCAAAGCAGCCAAATGGCTGCTCTTGTGGCCTGGTGCTCACTGGAATCGAACCAGAGAACTCGAAGAAGGAATATGCCCCCAAGAATTATTAGGGTTTTAGCTCTCGATGTAGGAAGGAAGAATGCGAGGCGCATTGGATCGGCGCGTTCTTCTCAAGGTACGCTGCTACTGCACTAGTCCCGGGCGAGGAAGAGGAAGAGCCGCCGCGGCTCCACCGTCCAAGCAATCGCCGCTACCGGCAGCCCCGGCACCAAAATCCGCGTCGTCGTCTCCCGGTGTAGGTCACGGCAGTGGAATCGCAGCTCCAGCTACAACTCCTGTGTCGAGCTCCGGGCGAGGCAGGGGTGAATCCCCGATCGCAGCTGCTAGAAATGCCACAGGGCAAGCACTACAAGCAAATGTGGCTACATCCAGTCCAGCTGCGGCGATTCCACAGGCCAAAGCTACGGCAGTGAAGGCAGCGAAGGCCGCGAAGGCCGCGATTCCAGCACCAGTCAGCAACATCACTGGTGTTGTGACGAGCGGCCAATCTCCACCTTCGCAGGTAAGAATTCCATTTGTAGTGTAAGAACTACCGTTATAACTTGTTTTCTGTGCGTTTTTCTCTTCTTTTTCTTGAGCAGGCACCTGCGGATCCTTCTTCGGAGGTATGCCCGTTAGTTTGCACGAGAAACTTGGCTCATTTCTTGTTTTTCAGCAGGAGACGCCCGCGTATCCCCCGTCCAAGGTAATTGCTTTCACCTAAGAGCCTGAATTTTGATGTTGATAAGTTTTTTTGCGCAGAAACCTACAAGCCGTCTTGAGGCTTCGGAAGCTTTTGGTGCGTTGATCCAATCCTGCGTCAGCCGAGGACTCTACTACGAGATCGACTACGTGCATGCAGCAATGCAAGTTGCTCACATTCCTACGACCATGCAGACGTGCCAAACGCTTCTGAACGCCTACATCCAGCTGGGAAATTCCCAGAAGATGGATAACATTTACGCGGAGATGCGGGAGATCAGGACGGGCGGGCAGCAGAAACCAGAGCCGAGCGTACAGGAGAAAGCTCAGGCTTCAGAAACTCTTGCAGCGTTGATAAGTTCGTGGTACAGCCGGGGATTTTACCAGGAGGTAGGCATGGCTTACAGAGGGATGAAAGCCGGCCATCTGCCGGTGTCCATGCAGGCTTGTAGAGTTGTGATGGACGCCTACAATCAACTGGGAAACTACTCAGCCATGGATATGGTTTACAGTGAGATGCGAGCACTGATGACAGCAGCAACAGAAACACCAATCGCTGCGCAGCAACCAGCAACAACAGTCTCAGCAGTCCCGGCGCAGCCAGTGACAAGACCACCCGCAGTACCATCGCATGGTGTTGGTCACGGAACACCTCTTCAGACACCTGGGATGCAGCATCAAATTGGCCAGGCTCCTCAATACCAGCAGTCTCAACAAGCTCCAGCCACATTAAATCCACAGCAGCCTGCGGCACCGCCAACACAGCAATGGTCTCAAACGTCGGCTTACTATCCACCGAATCCATACGTCAATATGCAGCCGGTTCCTCAGGCTCCAGTCGGATATCATCCTCAAAGTCAGCCTTCGGTATATCATCCAGGATATCAACAAGCCTATCAGGGGTATCCGGGATACTACCAGCAAGCTTATCCGGGATACCAAACGTATCCAGGATATCCACCGGGCTATCCTGGATATCAACCGGCTTATCCTCCGGGCTATCAGTATCCCCCTCCACCTTATGCACCAGCAGCAGTCCCACCGCCGCCACCTCCACAAAATGTCGCTATTGCAAGACCACAGCAATATCCTGCTACACAAGTTGCCACTCCAGCGCCGCAAGTTCCGACATCAACTGGACAAGCTGCGCCACAAGCTGTCGGCCAAGCTCCCCGACCAAAACTCGAGCTTCAGCCAAAGGCGCTTGAGTTGCTGCAGCAGTCACCAGAGTTACTCAAAGCTGCAGGTGATAGAGCAACTCTTATGGAAGGTAAAGCTGCGGCGAGTGCAGTGCGGCCTCAAACGCAGGTTCAAGCGCAACCTCCCCAGCAGTTTTCGCAGGTACCGTATCAACAAGTACCAATGAGCGTCCACAGCCCAGCTCAGTTTACAGCAGGTGTTCCTCAAGTTAGACCGGCTGGACACGCTCAGTTCCAAGCGCCACCGCAACCAGTTCCGATATATCCTTCAGGACTCCCTTTGAGACCAGGAGTGGTGCAAAGGCCAATTGGCCAACCACCTTCGACGCATGTTCCAGAAGCGCCATCGGCCGCCAAGAAACTGCCACCTGAAGTTCCAGCCGTGAAAATTGAGGCGTTGAAACCACCGCCACCACCACCAAAGCCTGTAGAGACGAAGAAAGCAGCGGTTGTGGACACGGTGTCTCCAAAACCTGCACCAGCAAAGACCGATATCAAATCGCAAGTTGAGGCGAAGGTTTCAGTGGCGGCTAAGAGTAAAGATGTGGTAGCGTCAGTGCCAAAGCCTGAGAAGACTGAAGTTAAGCCGAAGACACCTGCAGCGGTGGCTGAAGAGTCTACTCCAAAGCTGAATCTCACGCCAAAGAAACCTTCAACTGTGACGGAGCCTCCTCCAAAGTTGGATCTTCAGCTGAAGAAACCTGCAGAAAAGAAGGAAGAACCTCCAAAGTTAGACCTGAAGCTGAGGAAACCTCCAACAGTGACGGAAGAGCAGGCTGCGCCTGAAACCAAAGACGAACCTGGACGTGCTAAACTGGAGCTTAAGTTGAAAAAGCCTTCGGCTGTTCCCGTAAGAATGAAGGAAGAAACCACACCTGGAGCTGTAAAAGTACAAGATGAACCAGCAGAAGCGGAAGGAAGTAGACCTGGTGTTTCAAAAGCTGCGCCGTTGAAGCTGGAAGTAAAATTGAAGAAAGAAAAAGCTGCAGAAGCTCCGACGCCCGAACCTCCAACCGTATTACATGGACTTGGAAGAGGCAAAGTAGTGGAAGAAAAATCTTCGGACCTTCCCAAGCCACCTCCGTTGCGTCTTGATCTGAAGAAGCCGGGCTCACCGAAGGCAGTGAAAGAAACCGTTAAAGCTGCTGAGACAGAGACTCTTTCCGAGAGCGAGGCATCTGATACCGAAGTGGATCGACTGCCTTCTATCCGGAAATTCATTTCTCCTGGTCGAGGCAAAGGCGTCCCACTCATGGATCCAGTTGCAAGTCTTATTGGTCTACACACGCCAACAGATGAGCTACTTCAGGAGGAAGAAGCTTTGGAGAGTCAGCAAGGTGAACAGGATGAAAGTTTGCCTGCTCTGCCTTTCGAATCGAGACGAGGCAAAGGCAGGGGGAAAGTCATCGATCCCACTACTGTTGCTGCTGAAGTGAAGCGATCGAAACTTAAGAGGGAAGAAGCAGCGGCGAGAGCCATGGCTATTCTGGAAGGTGGTTTGGGGAAGTCTCAGATGTCCGCTTATCTGGAGAGGAGGAAGAAGAGATTCAGCGATCAGTTTTCACTGGGGGACGTTACCAGCAAACGAACAACCGAAATAAGACCGGGTGGCGGAGTCAAGAAAAGTAGTAGAGGCAAACAAGTGGTGCCTCAAGGTGTGATAGATTTGGATGGAGCCATCGAGTACGTAGCGCCGCAAGAGTATATGGCGAAAGGGGACGCTCTTACGAAGGTGGAGGAAGCGATCAAGGGAACTTTGCACAGGCATTTCATGGTACGTTACTATTGTGTTTTTCTGTTCTTTCCCGGTTCTTGACGTTTTTGGTTCCCGCGAATTGCAGCTGGATGTTGACCCGGAGGCTGCAATGGAGGAGTTTGGAACAAATCCAGATATTGATGACAAACCTTTGCCAACGTTGGAGGAATCACTGGACAGAGCCAAACGAAAGCTCGTTTCGCAGGATGGCATTGACGAAAAAGCATGGGAGGTAAGAGCAAAATCGTCGTTCTTCTCTCAGATTCTTTGGCTCTAATGAGCTACAAAAAAACTTTGCAGGAAGCCGTGCAAGACGTGAAAGAGCGTGCCCCGCAACTCCAGTCTCTGATCGAAACTTACACGGGCCCCCAGCAGAAATCCGGGAAGAAGAAGAACGAGGAGCTCCATAAGATCGTGAAAGCGCTCCCACCGTTTGCCAGTCCCGAGCTAGCGGCGTTTGCCAAGAGAGCGATGGTCACTCTTCAAGTAAGCTAGATCTTCTTCTCTACTTGGATAGATCGCTCACGAAATTTTTCTTGGCAGAACAATCCCGATTGGAGCCATGGAAACAAAACCAAGCTCTTGAAGAGGCTCGTGGCCGACGCTAGACAACTCCACGAGAGTGGGGCTTCTTAAACCCAGAATTTTCAATGTAAGAGGTTTTGTTCTAGGGCTCTTGGAAGCCATGGTGATGGCGCTCCAGATTTCCGCGTCGTCGCCGGCCTTCCCGATCGATTCTCCAGCTCCAGCTCCACGATTCGTGTATCCGCGAGCAATGCCGTCGATCCGATGGCCGCAGCACAGCGATTACGCCTCGAGAAGGACAGGAAGAGGCACCGCCGAGGAGAGCGAGGACTCGCCATCGCATTCGCATTCGCATTTCCAGCAAGAGAATGCCGCCGGGGAGAGGGAGCCGTTGTACGTGGTTCTGGATCCCCAGAAGCCGAAGAAGATGTGGCGGCAGTACCGCGGTGAGTACCTCCAGCCGCCGCTCATGGCTGTGCTAGAGCCCGTCAAGCCGCGCAAGATGTCCAAGCTCGCGCTCAAGCGCGCCAAGGACTGGCGGCAGCGCGTCCAGCGGCTGTCGGACGCGATTTGCCGGCTGGACGAGCACGAATTCGTGCGCGAGACGGTGGATGGCTGGAAGGAGCAGCTCGCCCCCACGGATTTGTGCTACGTCGTGAAGCGAGTGGCAAACACGAGCTGGCAGCGCGCGCTGGAGCTCTACGAGTGCCTCAACGTTGCTCGCTGGTACGCTCCCAATCCAAGGATGCTGGCGGTGATGCTATCGGTGCTGGGGAGAGCGAATCAGCCCGGCCTAGCGCAAGAGCTCTTCGACCGAGCGGAGTCGAGCATTGGCAATTGCGTCCAAGTTTACAACTCGCTCATGAGCGTCTACGCGAGGCATGGAGATTGGAACAGCGTCCAGCAGCTTCTCTGCCGGATGCAAGATAGAGGATGCCGGCCGGATCTCGTCACCTTTAACATCGTGATCAAGGCGAGAACTCGGGGTGGCATGCAAGAGGGTCTCGCCTCCTCGCTCCTCCAGGACGTCTACGCTGCTGGTCTCAGGCCGGATACCATCACGTACAACACTTTGATCAGCGCTTGCAGCCTCAACAACAGGCTGAGCGACGCCATTTTGATCTTCGAGGAGATGCAGCGGCAGGGGTGTGATCCGGATATCTGGACGTACAACGCGATGATCTCGGTCTATGGTCGAGCTGGGAGAGTCGAGGCTGCGAGCTCCATCTTTAGGATCATGCAAGAGCAGGGCTTTACTCCGGATGCCGTGACTTACAACTCGGTGCTCCATGCTTTCGCCAGGGACGGGAGGATTGAGGAGGTGGAGAGGATCCGAGGGATGATGAGAGACGCCCGCTGCTCCTCGGACGAGATAACGTACAACACGATGATACACATGTATGGGAAGGCGGGGATGCACAGGAAGGCCGAGGAGCTTTACGTCCAGATGAAGGAGGAAGGACGCTGCCCGGATTCGGTGACTTTCACGGTTTTGATCGACACGCTCGGCAAGGCTGGGTTTGTGAACGAGGCAGCGGCTATGTTCGAAGACATGCTCAAGTCGCAAGTCAGGCCAACTCTGCAAGCTTTCAGCGCCATGATTTGTGCGTATGCAAAGGCGGATATGTTTACTGATGCGGAACACACTTACAGCTGCATGCTTCGTGCTGGAGTTCGTCCCGACCTCTTGGCTTACTCGGTGATGCTGGACGTCTTCTTCAAGGCTGGAATGCCAGAGAAGTGCATAATTCTATACAAGGCTATGGTTGGCTCGGGCTTGAAGCCGGAGCTCAGCGTCTACGCCATCATGGTTCGGGTCTTCTATCAGAAAAGTTCTGTAGCGGAGATCGAGAACCTTAGCAAGGAGATGGTGCAGTCCAGTGCTAGCTTGGCCGCGCTTTCTTCCACGCTTGCTAAAGGTGGATTCTATGCGGAAGCCGCGGTTGTGTTGAAGATCTCCTTTGCGCAAGGGGTGGCAGTGAAGGTGGAAACACTCAACGACGTTCTCGGTGCCTTTGAGGCATCCGGGAAGCTCAGTGACGCGCGAGATTTGGTTCACGCGGTGTCGAGCATCGAGCCTAGTGTTGCTGCTCACCTGTACAAGAGACTGGCGGTGATGCTGGCAAAAGCTGGAAGGTTCAGTGAAGCGGAGGAGGAGATGAGAACATCTCAGACTTACGGCCAGGTACAGGTTTCCGACTTTCTCAAGGTGTTGGTCGCTTCCTATGATCGAGCTGGCATGCAAGACGAAGCTCTTGCTCGGTTTCTGGATATGACAACAGAGGGATTGGAAATGGACGCTGAAGTTCTTCAAACTGCTGTGATGTGCTACTGTCGCAAGGGGTTTGCTTTCGTTGCGCACGAGCTTCTGATCGATTGCCTCCATGCCTTTGACGTTAAGGACTCAGCCATGCACGTTGCGATTATCGCATCTTATGGAAAGTTGAAGCTGTGGCAGAATGCCGAGATCGTTTTCAGAGATTTGCAGCAGCATGGTTTTGCTGGAAACACATCCGCCTACAGCGCGTTGCTCTCAGCTTATGCCGAGACTGGAAACTTTGAGCGAGCTACGAGAGCACTGGACAATATGGTGGCCGCCGGTCTACAGCCCAACGCTACCTGTGCAAACTACGTGCTCGAAGCCTTTGGGAGAGCTGGGAAAGCAAAAGAGATAAGTGAGTTCTTTCAGCGCTTGCCTGAGATGGGGATAAGTCCTAACTCAAGAACGTTTGTGGTGATTTTTCATGCTTTTAGCAGGAATGGAAATCTGGAAGAAGCTAGGAGCATGTACCGGCAGATGAAAGAGGCCGGATTTTCTCCCAGCATCCAGGTGTTCAAGGCTTTGCTTGCTTTATACTCCAGAGAAACGGTTGAGATCGATGCTGAAGAGCTTGTCAAGGACATCAAGAAGGCAGGATTGGAGCTCGACATAGATATCTATAACCATATGATCAGCTTATACAGCAAGCTCGGAAGCTACAGAAACGCGGCCTTGGTCTTCAAAGGGATGCAAGAAATAGGCTGCTCGCCGGATGCCACCACTTTCAACACACTTATCATGCTCTACAGCCGCAACCAGATGGTGCAAGAGGCTCAAGCTCTTCTCAGGGAAATGATTAAAACAGGCAATGCTCCAAACATCTCGACGTACACGACACTCATCTCGGCTTACGGTCGTCTCCAGGCATATGAGGATGCTGAGCTTGTTTTCAAGAGCATTGCGGAAACCGGGTGCAAGCCTGATGCTACAGCGTACAATGTGATGATCAACGTGTACCGGAAAGCTGGGGAGCACAGGAAGATAGAGGAGATCATAGAGCAGATGAAAGTCGATGGCTTTGAACCGAGCCTGACGACGATTCACATGCTCATGGATTCTTACGGGAAAGGTGGTGCTACTGGAAAGGCCGAAGAGGTTCTCGAAACGCTACCAGAGATTGGAATGAGCCCGGACGCCATCCACTATACGAGCATCATCAACTCCCACTTGAACAACAAGGATTATTTGTCTGCGGTGATATGGCTGAGAAAGATGACCGACGCTTGTGTTCGGCCCACTCATGTTACAATAACTTGCTTCGTCGGGGCTGCGTCGGTCTGCGAAAGGTCAAGTCATGCGTTGATGCTTCTGAAAGCTTTGTCCGAAGCTGGTTTCTCGCTCCCTTTGAGGTAAGTTTTTTTTCCTTTGCGATTCGATTCTTACTAAGTGTTCGTTGTTTTCTTTTCGTTTTCAGGCTTATGACCGAATGCACTCCCAAGGTGGTGCAGGACATGCAAGACATATTCGATCAGTTGCAAGAGTCTGGCCCCGAAGCATGCCAAGGGGTTGTAAACGTGCTTATGGACTTGCTCTGGGCATTCCGGCAGTGCGCAACAGCAGCTTTGGTGTTTGCAGTGGCGATTGAGAGCAACATTTACACCCAAGTTTTAGCCAGGTACCTGACAACAACCTTTGGAGCAAATAGCTGACACGTTTGCTCGTGTTTTTGACTCCCAGGGTGAAAGACAGGAACTGGGGAGCGGACTTTCGTAGACTGTCGCCAGGGGCCTCACTGGTCGCTTTGATACTCTGGCTGGATCAAATGCAGGTACAACGTACATTCGTTTACGCTCAATATCATACTTACGAACTAGCCCTCAGGACGCTTCACTGCAAGGATCGCCAGTTCCACCAAAGTCCATCCAGATAGACATAGGAAGCAGCAAGCTAAACAACCAGGCCTCGGTGAGAAACACAATCAAAGCTCACCTTTGGCAGATGGGGTCACCGTTTCTTCCATCGAAAACGAGGGCCGGAGTCCTGGTCGCAAAGAGCCACGCTCTGTGCATGTGGCTCAAGGAATCGCCTTACTGCCTCGACCTGGAGCTCAAGAACACGAAGACTCTGCCCGACACAAACGCCATCCAGGTTTACAACGGTGCTTTCGTGTGGGCCGGGCTGGCACCGGCCATCCAAGAGATCGACGAGACAATGGGGGACATACTCCCCAAGAAGTTCGCCAGGCTCGTCCATCTCACCCCGGAAGGACGAACAGCGGCCATGGAAGCCGACTTGAGGGGGAGAGCTGAAAAGCTGGCCAAGCAGCTCAGGGTGAAGCTCCCGAAAGCTAGCAGTCAAGTGGAGAAGAAGAAGGAAGAGAAGAGGCTGAGGAAAGCTGGGAAGATGAGGCAGTCACCAAAGCTTGCAAGACCAAGAGAGAAACAAAGGTTTGATGATAGCAAAAGCCTCAATAATATAAGAGTTTGATCATACTCTCAAGATTTGTGCGTCTTAGTATCACTGAAAACCAACTTGGTGGACTAAGTTTGTGGAAAACTGAGAATTGTCCGTTTTGAGAGTGCCAGACTTTTTTTTCAAACACATCAAGCCCTAATATTTAATGTGCTCTTTTGCCCTAGTCAGGGGGAGCGGCAGGAATGTGTGGGATTCTAGCGATTCTCGGCTACCATGAGGCGCATCTCCAGCGCAGCAAGGTGCTGGATCTCTCTCGCAGGTATCACGCGGCAGCGATCCAGGGTTTAAGGTGCTGAAATGAAGGGTGTTTTTGCTAGGTTGAGGCACCGGGGCCCCGATTGGAGCGGCCTGTATCATCACCAGAATTTCTATCTTGCTCATGAGAGGCTGGCGATCGTCGACCCCGCTTCCGGGGATCAGCCGCTCTACAATGAGGACAAGTCGATCGTCGTTGCGGTACTCCACGTTTTCTTCTTTTTATTTTTTCGCGGGGTGTATCATGCTTTTCCATTCTTGCAGGTTAACGGCGAGGTTTACAACCACGAAGCTCTCAAGGCGTCAATGGAGCACAACTACAACACGCAGAGCGATTGCGAAGTCATTGCCCATCTGGTACGAGCGTTGAGAGAGTTCTACTGTCTTAGCTATTTTTCTTTCCCTCGTTGTTTCTCAGTACGAGGACTTTGGAGAAGACATGGTCCAGAAGCTAGATGGGATGTTCTCCTTTGTGCTCCTCGACACACGAGACAATAGCTTCATAGCTGCTCGTGACCCGATTGGAATCACGCCTTTGTACTTTGGCTGGGGTTCCGATGGTATGTCACCCTGGTTTGTTCCAAAAGGTTTCTCAGTTTTATTTTCTTCGTTTTCTTTGCAGGATCTGTATGGTTCGCGTCAGAGATGAAAGCTCTTGTGGATGACTGTGAACGGTTTGAAACTTTCCCTCCTGGGCATTTATACTCTAGCAAAGCAGGTCATTCGCAGCTACGTAGTTCTCTGGCTGACTAAGCTGAACTTCTTCTTGGACAGGAGGCTTGCGAAGGTGGTATAATCCACCTTGGTTTTCTGAGTCGATTCCGTCCATGCCTTACAATCCCTTGGCACTTCGTGAAGCATTCGAAAAGGTTTGTCTATTATTATTCCTTTGAATCAAATTTGAGCTTTCTTGCGCTTGCTCTTCCAGGCAGTTGTCAAGAGGCTTATGACAGATGTTCCATTCGGGGTGCTACTCTCTGGGGGCCTTGACTCGTCTCTAGTTGCCTCCGTGGCTTCAAGGCACCTAGCTAGTACGAAAGCTGGGAGACAGTGGGGACCCCAGCTTCACACCTTCTGCGTAGGCTTGAAAGTAAGCAGGTTAATTCTCACTGTTTAATAATCTAGACTACGTGCTTCTCAGGGTTCTCCAGATCTCAAGGCGGCAAAAGAAGTTGCCGATTACCTTGGAACAATCCATCATGAGTTTTACTTTACAATTCAGGTAGTTTCATTGTCGATATAGTTTTTATTTAGTTTTGTGGGAATTTGACAGGAAGGTCTAGATGCACTTCGTGACGTAATCTATCACATTGAGACGTACGACGTGACAACAATCAGGGCCAGCACCCCGATGTTTCTAATGTCACGGAAGATCAAAGCTCTTGGTGTCAAAATGGTGCTGTCTGGGGAAGGATCAGACGAAATTTTTGGCGGTTACCTTTACTTCCACAAGGCTCCTAACAAGGAAGAATTCCACCGGGAAACCTGCAGAAAGGTACAAACGCCATGCACTGCTTTCTTACACATTGAAAGCTTATTTCATGCAGATAAAATCGCTCTATTTGTACGACTGTTTGAGAGCAAACAAGGCGACATCTGCATGGGGTGTGGAAGCAAGGGTTCCATTTCTAGACAAGGAGTTCGTTGACATTGCAATGAGTATTGATCCATCTGAGAAAATGGTTTGTTTCCTTTAGTAACGAGTGCAATCGTTTCCTTACATGTTTCTCTTGTTCTGCAGATTCGACCTGGCGAAAGGATAGAAAAGTGGATTATGAGACGAGCGTTTGATGATGAAGAAAAACCTTATTTACCGAAGGTAGCGAGAGCGGTCGTGTTTGATGAAGCTAATCAAGGCTTTTTACTTTTTTGCAGCACATTTTGTATCGGCAGAAGGAGCAGTTTAGTGACGGGGTCGGGTATGGCTGGATCGATTCTTTAAAAGCCTTTGCTACAAAGCAGGTAACGGTGTGGATCGAGTTTTTTATCAGGGTGCCATTGTGTATATAACCACGCAGGTGAGCGATCGTATGATGGCAAATGCTATGTTCGTCTATCCTCACAACACCCCACAAACAAAAGAAGCATACTACTATCGCATGCTCTTTGAGAGAGTCTTTCCACAGGTACGAGAATCAGTACACCACGCTCAGGTCGACTAACGTCAATGAAACACACACAGGAATCTGCGAGACTGAGTGTTCCTGGCGGCCCGAGCGTGGCATGTAGCACAGCGGCTGCAGTAGCCTGGGACGAGGCATGGTCCAAAAACCTGGATCCATCGGGAAGAGCTGCCACTGGCGTCCATGCGGACGCATACGAGTCATCAGAGGCACACCCTCAAACCAGCACGGTGGAGGAAATTAGCAAGGAGCAGCTTAAACTCTGTCCTCAAGTTGTGGTGGCATCGTGACTGTTTCCTTGTTTTATAAATTTGTTCCAAGACAAGCCCAAATGGTAATACTTTAGTAAATTTATTTATTACCTTAAACTATGAGTGTTATAAATTCTTAAAATATTTGTTTGTCTATTAATATTAGTGTTTTGATAGCCATTCTATTGGTTTAAATTTAGACCATTCACTTTTATATATAAATTAGGGTTTTGGGTTATTATTTTCATATTCCATACACTCTGTTTTGATTGTCCCTGATGAGTACTTGAATTTAAGATTTTGGTTTAGATCTTACTTTTGCATTATTTAAATTTCATTTCATTTCTTTTTCTTTTATCCTTTTCATTCCAGAGTAGCAACTTCCTCATTATTTGACTCTAGAGTAATAATCAGTGTAATTGTTTGATGCTATATAGTTGTAGTTGAACAATCAAACTTAGTGGATAGCAATATTCACAATACATGAAACAACTCCTTTTACTCCTACTATTAATCCTCATGTTTAGCCAAAATTATTCCATGGAAATGATATATATTTTGGTTCAATCACTTTATAGTGATTATTAGTTATCATTCTTGAGATGATGCTCAGGATTTGTATTCATTGGTGTTGTCATTCATTAAAGACATTGTAATAATACAATGGTTTGAACATAGCCACTTGTGCAAATTGAAGCATTCTCTTAAACATCTATAAACATGCATTTGGATATACTAATAATTATGATAATGTCTTCTAACAATTGCATTATCTTTATTAAGAGTCATTTGAGTCAATGATGCAATTTGGCATTTGCTTCAAAAACCTCTTGTTTTGTCTAGAGCTAAATATATTGAAGCAAGTCAAGTTCAGAATGTTGTGGCTAGCACTTCATCAAAATCTTGTTAAACTTGTGCATACACTTGCTTTAGCCACCTGATGATGCTTTTTGACTGATACAACGTTATAATATATTGCTTCTTCCACTTCTCACTGCACATTCTTCCGCTCTACTTCTTGTGGGAGATAGTTATATTCTAATAGAAGTTGATGTTATTGTTGCTCGTGTTCAAAGATAATAGCAAAGACATGGCCGTGGGTTGTGATATCCACTATTGAGCATGTGTTATACATATCGGCATTGTTAGCATTTTCTGGACTAGCATCAACAACATTATGTTAGTGCTACTATAGTGAAAGGTCTTAACACAAAGATTTTTTTGGGAAACAAGGAGTTGCGCAAGTAATAAAGGGTTCTTGTGTGAATAAATCAATAACTCCTTCATCTTTCTTTTGAGAGTACTATCAAAAGCTTCACTTAAAGTTCATTTAGTGTTTACTTTGGAAACTCATTTTTATAACACTATTCTCTTTGTATTAGTTGATATAGACTTGCTCAACTTATTACTATATATTGCTATTTACAATTGTGTTGAGTGGTAAAGTTAGTCTTCATTCTTTATAACAATGGCTATGCATTTGTAAGGGATAAGGCAAACCTAACTGTATGTATAGGAGATCTTTACCTTAAATTTCAATTGTTGTAGATAATCAAGCTTTTGACCTCATCCTTGGTATGAATTTATTATAGCACAATTATGTCAACTGTGACTTTGAGGTTTCTCCCTCTTATCTTATACTTTATATTTCTTCAATTCCTCTTAATTTTATTCCTTTTCATCTCTTTTTACTTCGATCACTTTTGTCTCCCTATTACTTCCTATTGTGTTTCCATCTTGCTCTTTTTTTCCCTCTCTAGATCTTTTTGACGGTATTTATGTTGCTATAGTGGACTGATTCAAGGATATTGATATCTTCGACTTTGACATATCATTTAGGGCTAAGATTGCAATATATCATTTTATTCCAACTAAGGATGCTCGTCTAATTAAGGTTCCAAAAGAGATCAAAATTTTATGCACGAACATCAAGAAAATGTTATAAAAGGGTGTTATCTAAAAATCTCAAAATCCTTAGGCATATGAACCTCATTTTGTAATAAAGTCTGATGGGAGTATTTACTTCTACATTAACTATTGTTCATTAAACAAGATGACTATCCTAAATATATACCTTCTTCCTTACACTACTGATCTCTTGGATCATTTGGAGAGAAATTATTGGTTCACCAAGTTAAATATTTCTTCTGGGTATTAGCAAGTGTTAATGGTTGAGGAAGATATTCCTAAGACTACTTTTCATACATTATTTAATTTATATAAATTCTTGGTGATGCTATTTAATTTAAAAAATGCTCTAATAACTTTCCAACAGATAATGGACAAAGTTCTTTTAGATATACTAAAGATGACTATTGACTATGATGTCTTGATCAATATATAGGGGATGTGGGATGAGTACATACATGATATTCGTAAAGTATTGGATTAGTTGCAGGAAGTTAGTTTAAAGCTGAAGCAGTTAAAGTGCGTGTTTAGGTCCAATAACTCAACTTATCATATTTCTTGTAAAGGTTTGCAAGTTGATCCTGACAAACTTGTGGCTTTTTGTTGATTATATTTTTTATTGTACTACACCATTATGAGCATTATTGAAGTCGTCAACATCATCCTTTATTTGGTTGGTGGACTACAAGTGATCATTTATGGATCTCAAAAAACTGTTAACAACTCCTCCAGTTTTGGTATATTCTAACTATACTCAATTTTTAATTTTGTGCATGAATGCTTCTAATATCAATCTTAGAGATGTGTTGATGCAAAAGAGCCCGAGTGTATTTGATCAATGCCATCCTACTATATATATTAGCCATATATTACAATTAACAAATGTGAATTACTCTGAGTTTTTAGTAGCAATTTAGGGTTTTAAGAAGCTTCATACATATTTGTATGGTTTTCAAACATTACTAAAAAGTGATTATGTTGCAATTACTTCATTATTGAAGTAGAAGAATTTCGTTAGTTATATTGTTCAATAAGCCCTAAAGCTTTAAATATATAAATAAATATATATAATTTATATAAATTTAATATATAAATATATGCTTCTTAATCAACTACAAGTAATAAATGCATTATTATTGCCTCTAACTATTTGACTCACTAGCTGAAAATTAATGCTTTTACTAGTGTGTTAGCAATTGTTGTTAAGTACTTTTTTCTCAATTGTGTGGTATTTTAACATTCTTATCTAGAGTGGATTCTCTCAGATAATAATCTCATATTTATGCCTGAGGTGTTTCATGTTTTAACATCTCGACTAGGGATATGCCACACTTTCACAAGTGTTTATTATCCACAAATAGGTAACTTAGTGGAAGGGTTTATTTGAACCTTCAAAAGAATAATTGTGAAGAATGTAAACTTTTAATATTTAGATTAAGATGGTTATTTTCCATCTCTTTAGTATGCATATATTACAAAGGTATAGAGTTTCGTTGATGCTCCATCATATAAACTTTTATATGGTCATGATCTGATACTACCATGAGAATTGAGTTTACCTTCATGATTATCATAAGTTGCCAATGTTAAGTCTTTAGATCAATATTTAACAAGTGTTCTTCCACTTGTCTAAGCGGAGCCTGTTAAATACTTAGGCCATATACAAATGGGACAACAATAGTGTTATAAGTCTCATTATCATTTACTTACAAAGTATAAAGTGGATGATTTAGTGTTGTTTGTTTTTCTAATTTTATGGTACATGGTTTGTCTAAAGGGCTCTCTACTCAGTGGAAAGGACCATGCTAAGTGTTGTGGCAAGTTGGACCACAAGTTTATGAAGTTCAACATAATATTCAACATGTCAATCCTTTAGAAATTATGTATATAAACAATTGAAATGCTTTGTATAAAGGGATCAAGAACAACAAACACCTACAAATCCACTAGTGCCTTTTATTAATATTCCTTTTGATCCTGGCCCATTAATTAGAGAACTTTGACTACCTTCCATCTTTTCAAAAGGAAGGGATGATGTGAGGTCTAAATGTATGGCTATAATGCTATATACTAATATTAGAATAGTGAGATTTTAATAGTTATTAGATTAGTTTCAATTTGGACCATTTGTATATAAGCTAAGGTTTTTAAGCTAATTAATTTGCACATTTCTGTATTTTATTTCCATATTTCATGCACTCATATCAAGATTTTTTAGAATTTTAAACTATCAATTTTAACAGATTAATAAAAAATTATTGAGTAATGCTTATTTTCTATTAATCCAATTAATAAATTAAATTTTATAGTTATAAACATGATTTCAACCATTAAATGTTAGAATAAAATAGGATATACCATATACTATGAAGTATTTAGGAAATTTTATAAATTATAAATTCAATATTAAATAAAAACCGTTAAGTGGTAGAATATCCAAGCATATCCTAAATATATATAAAATATGTAACTCTTTGTGTCATTACTCATGTGGATGTAATGTGCAAAATTGATATATATCATATTGTGTCCATGTATGAAAGGCACTAGAGTGGGTATTTGCTAGACATCTCAAGGAGCTTTTATCAAGGTTTCTTGTATTAGATTTTCACAGAAGGTGATAAGATGGAGCTCCACACATTCACAGTCAAAGTCATCCTCAAAAAAGACATTGTTTCCAATAAATTCGGCTTTCTGAGCAATCTTCTACAGTTACTTTTGCCTGAAATTGTTGTACTCCTTCATGAGAAGAATAAATTATTGAATATAGAACAGAAGTATAGGTGCAGTTATTAAATATGCTTATAAATGTTTGCTCTTGCAGTTCTACACCATATCCATTGTCCTTGGCATGAGCAAAGAATTATGTTCAAGAGAATGGCCGAGAGAGGCATGGTTTCTTATCGAGCATGATCGTCTAAGCAGGCTTTTCAGCATCTTGTGGAAGGTTGATCATATTGCAATTCTCCTCTGCAATTCTTGAGCTGTGGAACATATAACATGCAATCAATCTTTAAAATAGCCTAATCAACTCTACCATGTGAAAACCAAAGACTAGGCTGAGATGAGACTGAGCAGTATGATCTCATTGGGATCCCAGTTATATGTAGACTTGGAGCATCACACATATATGTAAATGCCACTATGGTGTGTTTTCTTGGGTTTCACTTTAGTGTTTGAGACAATAGTTTATGAATTACATGCCACCACTT